TTGAACTCCTAAAAAAAAATATTTTTCACTTTTTAGTTCGCGAGTTCGGTTTTAGTTACAAAATCGTGGTATTAGTTTTTTTTTATTATATGTATTCGTTTTCTAAAACCCACAATACAAAGCTATGCTTAGTTTATCTCATAGATTAAATATCTAACTATTTAGAACATGTAAATCGTTTTTATCACCGAGTGATTGATGTAACCGGAGGACCAACCCTATCTCCTATCTCTAAGGGGATGGGGCAATTATAAAGTGAGGACACATTTGTCAATCTTCAGTAGCTGGTGTCGGTGTCCGGCAGTAGTCATTTACAATATGGTGACCCGTTGGCTCGTGTACCCATATGTAGCATAGGAAAAAAACAGTGTGGAATCTATACAAATAAATAAAATTGAAGTGTCTGTTTGTAATGTCAAAAAAATAGGTTTTTTTTCCTTGCTCACACGGTTACTTGTACGATACCCATGCCATAAAACAGCTAGACCGATTTTGATAATATTTTTCTACCAGGTAGCTGTCTATTTAAGGAATAACTTGGACTTTTTTCCTCTCAGAAAAACCCTATAAAATTTTGCCCGGTCCGGGAATCGAACCCACGAAGGCAGCTCTTTTCAAATCCCACGCGAAGTCGCAGGTACTAGCTGGTCTATGCTAATATTGTAAAGATGATGAGTTTGTTTGGTTGAACGCGCTAATCTCAGGAACTACTGGTTGGAATTGAAAAATTATTTTAGTGTTGGATAGCTTAGTTATCGAGGAAGGCTTAGAGGCTATAGAGCATCACGCTACGGCCAATATAATAGTCCACTGCTCGACATAGGCCTCTCCTTAGAAAGGAGGTTTTGGCCTACTAGACCACGCTGGCCAGACGGTTTGGTATAGGGTTTGCTTCAAGTTTTCCTTCTCTTTGCATTGCTGTTTTCCTGCGCAGTTTACTCCCTTAGTCCGCTCTTACGACACCCACGGGATGAATAGGGGTGGTGACTCTCTGTATTCTTACTCCATCACCACACAGAGACTGTCTAACTTCTCAATAATTTTCTCTTACTTTACAAATCAATATCTAGGGCACCTGGTCACACATTTCAGCACCACCCTAAGGTAGACTGGGAGAAAATGCCTATGGCATTAAGTCCGCTAATGTACAACCCACACTTGTGCATAAAGTATTAAAAAAAATAAAAAAACTAGCCAAAATTTTGGCAATTTTCATAAAAATCTTTAAAATCCAATATCTTGAAGAAGGTTAGGTTTGGGATAGGGTATTTAATAGTGAAATCTATCAGCAATGATGGCAACTACTGCCCTCTAAAGTATCTAGGTCGAATTAAGCAGTAACCCTGTATATAGTTTTGTTTCCTATAAAAGATATTATCATACAAAAAAACCTTTGCTAATATTATCACAGTTGCGTGTAGCCTACGTTCTATTCCCCTTCACAAGATAAGGCGCAAACATAATTAATCCCAGACGATTTGGCTAAAATGAGGAAAATGGTCCCGCGTTCTTATTTTCTTAGTAGCAACATTCTCTAGCCGGTATTTGCAGAGGTTTTACTCGCTTATATCGGTTTGAATTTGTGTTATTCTTTGTAGGTAGGCTAGTGAGTTTTGAGATTACCAGTCATAATCTTTATAATAAATAAATTATTTATTTATTTAATATAAAGTTTTTGACTACTAATCTAGATGGTAAAAATGGCTTTTCCTTCGTTTCATCACATCACATCACATCACATCACATCAACAGCTTTTAAGAGTCCACTGTTGGACATAGGCCTCTCCTTAAAAAGGAGGTTTTGGCCTACTATACCACGCTCTGGCCAGACGGGTTGGTATGGTGTTTGTGTCAAGTTTTCCTTCTTTTTGCAGTGCTGGTGTCCTGCGCTGTTTTGCTCCCTTAGTCGGCTCTTACGACACCCACGGGATGAATTGGGGTTCCATAGTTTAGAATGCCTTATTAACCAACTGCGCTAGAAAGAGGGTAAAATTTTTGAGTGTGTAGTATCATGTACTTTGGCACGTTCTGTAGCCTAACGGCTAAGTACTTGTAAATTTATCCGTGTGTGACGGATCCAGAATACGGATTGTCACCACCCCGTATCATTGGTTTCGTAAGAGGTGACTAAGGAAGCAAACTACGCAGGTCAACAGCACTGCAAAGAAAAGGAAAACTTGAAACAAACCCTACCAACCCGTCTCACCAGCGTGATCATCAACAGCCCTTAATCCACTGCTGGACATAGGCCTCTCTTTACAATGGAGGTTTATTTATATAGTAGACCAAATCCTCCTGTCTAAAAATAGGCCTATGTCCAGCAGTACACTGTTCTAGTCTAGATGATTTATGATACATTTTCACGAAGTCGGGTTTTCGCTCATTGGGAGCATTCAATGGGTGTTACTAGTGTCTTGAGCAGCTGGTGTCCAAGGATGGCAGGTCTTCACTTAACATCAGGAGACCCTTCAGCTCGTTCATCCCTCTATAAAATAAAACAGCTCTCGCACATTTTTTGTTACACTGTTCTCATCATCATCATCGCAGTCCACTGCTGGACATAGGCCTCTCCCATTGCACGCCACTTAGATCTATTTTGGGCTTCTCGCTTCCAGCTCCTGCCAGCCATATTGCGCAAATCGTCATCCCAATCGTCACTGTTCTCATAAATTGTATTATTATAAATATATGTAAGTACGTCAAAATATGTAGTTCATATTTTATCTACATTTCAATCTTGATAACAATGACCATTATTGTCTGTTGGGGGTTCTCATGGTTGCATTTCTAGGTTACACTTGAGGCCGCAGCCCAGACCCCGTGACAGAACACCGTGTGGTTTTACTGAGATTTAGTCACACTTGAGACATCGAAAATATGTAAATTAAAAACGTTATTTGTACATCAATCAATATGATAGTCTGTTAAACTAATAGGTTCATCAATTTATAGTGACTCTGGCCTGTTTTTGTTGCGGAGTCAAGGTCATTGGTTCCATTCTCCCTCAGGACCAGTGGCGGCTTTAGTCATTGAGAGGCCCCGGGTGGGTAGGACATTGCGAGGCTCCCGGGCTGGTAGATAATTGCGAGGCCTTTGTCTTTGTGGAATTAGTTTTAATGCTGTTACTTGAAACAAAACAATACAGTGCAACACGTACTGCTGCTCGAACATAAAAGCACCAACCGACATCCTGTCAATATGTGTTTTAGAATGCGAGGCGTCCTAGTTTTTCTACTTAGTCGCGAGTGCGCGAGGCTCCTGCATGACGAGGCCCTGGGCCTCAATTCTGCTATTTTATGTTGACGCCAAGCCACTGTCATACCACTGACACGCTTTTGAGATGCCATCGAGTGGCCATTGGCATCGGTATAAATATCGGTAGTCTACACTAACTCAGTGTCTTTACAGTGGCGATGGATTGGCAGTGGCTCAGTGGTGATATCAAAAAGATTGCCATATTTGAAAAACCAAATAAATCATTTCCTTATAATTTGAAAATAAATTACGTTTTTGAGGCAATCTTTTGTCACCACCCATTTTCATCCCGTGGGTGTCGTAAGTGCCGATTGAGGGAGCAAACTACGCACGACAGCAGCACTGCAAAGAGAAGAAAACTTGAAACAAACCGTATACCAACCCGTCTGGCAAGCGTGGTATTTGTTCTGTAACCCAAAAACCTCCTTTCTAGTGAGAGGCCTATGTCCAGCAGTGGACCTTTAAAGGCTGTTGATGATCTGCTTTGTTTCAGACATGAACTTTGTAAAAAAAAACCCGATAAGCAAGAATGGACTAGCAAATTCAGTAGGTCTGTAAGTAAAATATACCACTAAGATATTAAAAAATCAACCCTCTTAATACTCCATAACACCATTAGAAACAGTAAAAGAAAATATAAGTGGTATTTTATATCAATCTTGCTGGCAACACTTGTGATGAATGTTCTTCGTAAGCTTTTAATATATATTTTTATTGCCAGCCGTCGCTATTTACCCCCGGTCTGTGTTATTCTAGAGTTTATTGTTATACCCTTGTTTTTCGTTTATTTATTTAGCTCATAGTTTTGTAGTGAAGTTTGAAACTTGGTTCGAAGTGATGTTATTTTTGTTTGTTAGAACATTAGTTTAGTTTTTTATGTAGATTAAATTAATGGAGACAGCTAGACTCGTACTTGATTTGTATAATTTATTTTTTATCACTTTTATAATGTTATTTAACTCACTCAGGTTTTTTGAGTAATCAAGTGACTAAATCTATTCGGATTTACTCACTTGTAGCTTAATATTATTTATTAGCATAGATGTTTATCTACAACTAATAATATAAAGCTGGAAATTTGTTTGTTTGGTTTAACGCGCTTATCTCAAAAACTGCTGGTTCGAATTGAAAAATTGTTTTAGTGTTGGTTAGCTCATTTATTGCGGCAGGCTATTGGCTATACTTGTAATATCACGCTTGACCAATAGGAGTCGAGCAAGAGACGCAGAAGTTGCACCGGTCAACTAGTCTTTCATATGAATAGAATAAAATACACTTATTAGTACACCAACAGTTATTTTTGGCAAGAGTTCATCAAATGAATGAAAATGTTTAAATGGCGGCCTTATCGCTAAAAATCAATCTCTTCAAACTACCTCAGATTTCAGAAAATAAGTTTTAAGCAGTTCTTTCGGTTCTTTTCAACGAGTGAGTGAGATTACAGGAGCCTTCAGGATTCTCTCTCTCTCCCTCTCTCACCCTCCCTCTCCCCCCCTTCTCTCTCTCCTGAAGGGGGGGACTCAAAGGATGGCAATGCACCTTCGACTGGTCGAGTGGTGAGGTATTGATGGGTGGCGGTAGTCACCCCACCTATACCATGTTTTTTGCCGTACTTCCTTAGCACTTGCGACCGTAAGGTGGTTCAATGGACAGGTACTCTCGTAGATATCATACTCCAGAACACATAACTACAGGTGTCGTTTTATTGTTCCAGATGAGGCGCAGGGCTTGGTGATCGCGGCGGGATGCAAGGTGGCGGAGCGCCCGCCGCAGATGCCGACCAGGCGCAGTTCGAGGCCGACAAACGAGCTGTATATAAGTGAGTATACATATATTCCATTCCGTGTGGTGACGGATTAAGAATACGGAGTGTCACCACCCCTGTTCATCACGTGGGTGTCGTAAGAGCCGACTTAGGAAGCAAACTACGCAGGACAACATCACTGCAAAGAGATGGAAAACTTGCGAGATACTGACCGACCCTATACCGACCCAACTGGCGAGCTTAGTATTGTAGGCCAAAACCTCTTTTCTAAGGAGAGGCTTGAATCTAGCAGTGGACTGCTGAGTCAGAGCTCCTGGGAAAAATAATTGTGTGATGAGAACGACCATTTGTTCTGTGTGTGGGTGTAATCTTATATATAAAATTCTCGTGTCACAATGTTCGTTCCCGTACTCCTCCGAAACGGCTTGATCTATTCTCATGAAATTTTGTGTGCACCTCGGGTAGGTCTGAGAATCGGCCAACATCTATTTTTCATACCCCTAAATGGTAAGGGTGACCCATCCCTAATTTTTTTTTGTTTTGCAATACAACGTTTGCCGGGTCAGCTAGTTTATTTATAACATGTATGTACTCGTATTTAGAAAGATATAAGTATGTCTATTTAATATTTATATAATTACGTGAATGGAACTGGAATGATACTCAACGAAAATTGGGCGTCTAAACACACTTCTGTCCACCCTTTTAGGAATGAAAGGCGTGAGTGTATGTATGCATATATCTCGTATAATGGTTTGCCTCACTTAGGTGTCAGTAATTTCCACTTTTAAATACCATCCAATGGATGAACAGACCCGTAACTATATGTCCTAACTGTACAAATTCTTTATCTTTTAAAAGTATGCTTTGGAAGATTTTAGGAAACAGCTCACATACCCCTGGACTTATTTTAATCATGACAAGAGAAGAAGTCAGTTGTCTTTCTGTAAATTGCTGACAAACCATTAGATTCACGCTGTAGATTTGAACCTATTACTCTTCATGGTTGGTGCTCTTTGGGGAAGGCCTTCGTTCAGCAATGGACGACAAATAGGCTGAAGAATCGAAACTGGTGGTTCATCGTCATCCTCGGAGACGATGAACCACGAGAGCCATACAATGGGGCTGAACTTCGCTTTTTACCGAGATCCAGACTGCCATCAGGCCTCCACAACCCAAGTTCTAGGCGATATCGAAGTTCTGTGTATAAACCGTTTTCATACTTTTTAGGGCTCCAATTATATATTTATTGCCACAGATGTTATGTTCATAGAACCTATTACCTACTTGTAATTAACATATTAAAAAATCTCCATTACATTCCAGACATCCACTGTTCCCTCTACTGGCCCTCCTTCTGGAGCGATGTGAGCAAGCCACGGCGGGGGCCGAGCCTCCAGCCGCCGAGGCCTTCGGCGCAGATCTACAAGCGTTCGTCCAGCACCAGAGGAGAGATAGGAGACCGTTTCTAGTCGATGATCCAGAAATTGATGGCCTTATGATTAAGAGCATCCAGGTATGTAGCACAAAGAACAGTTTGGCATAAGTTCTGTGACCTGATATGTGTATTATACTGAACCGTTATAAACAGTGAATTTAACTTTGATATTGGTCATCCAGTCTGCATCCATACGTACGGATGTGGTCAGCCCGCAACCGGGATAGTCGGCACTCCTTTAGAGAGACCTTCGTCCAGTAGCGGACGTCGATAGGCTGATGATGATTGATCAGGTTTTATTCTTTCCCATTTTAGCACACTGTCAGGCAATTTGGGCATCGACCGTCTCTTTATAGCTAGGGTCCCCAGTAGGAAAGGAGAGTCGTTAGATCACGGGCAAACTTACAAATTTCTAAGTAGAACTCACAGGTTTCCTCACAATATTCTCCACCACTGGTTCAGCTATCAGATGATGATTAACTTTAAATCTTTGGACTTGTCAGCAGCTATCAGTATCTCTCGCTAGCTTTCGCTCATAACCAGAGTTCATAGGTTTTTGCTATTACTGTTTGAGAGGCGTAAAAATTGTACTTCAAAGAGGACCTTTTAAGGAGGATCCCTAAGTTGATTCTCATCGAGTGAGTGAATTGCCGGAGTCCAAACCATCCCTCCTGATTTTGGGAGAGGGACTGCGACTGACTGCTTGTTTTTCGCCTATAGTCTATACCATAATAAACGGCAAGGTCCAGCACTTCCTCATCCCGTTAGAGACGCATTAAGCATCAGACATCTTGGTATGAATTCCGTTCTATATTAGCTAAACTGAGGGTCTTAGATTAGACAGCTCGTAGTCAACCTCATGACGACTTAGACGAAATGTGACCAAGACCTCTATTCTGCTATTTTATGGTTAAGTACAAGCCACTGTCATTCCATTTACAGGCTGTTGAAATGCCATTGACATCGACCAAATTTCGGTATTCTATTACCATAAGTTCACAGTGTCAATAGACTGTCGATGTAGTGGCAATGGCTTATCAATGGTGATATTAACAACATTGACATATTATCTGGCAAATAATAATATTCTACCACATTTACACAACGCCATCTAGTCCCAAACTAAGCAGAGCTTGTACTATGGGTACTAGACAACTGATATAAATACATGTATACTTTTTTTTTTGTAAATACATACATATTATACATAGAAACACCCAGACCAAATCAAACATTAAATGTTCATGCACACAAATGTTTGACATGAGCGGGACTCGAACCCGCGACCTTTGGAATAGCAGTCTGCTACACAAACCACTACACCATTCGGTCGTCAATTAAATATATCATTTCCTTACGAACTTAAAATGTACCTTTTACCAAACTGTTACAAAGATATCTACTACATTTATATCAGTGGCAGTTCAGTAACAGGTCATCCAGATAGGAGGTCATTGGTGAGACCAATGGCCTCCTATCTGGATGACCTTAGTAGTAGCATGTTAGTAGAATAAGAAAAGTGTAAAATTATTCCGTGTTCGTGTGGTGACGGATTAAGAATACAAATTGTCACCACCCCAATTCATCCCGTGGGTGTCGTAAGAGCCGACTAAGGGAGCAAACTAAGCAGGACAACAGCACTACAAAGAGAAGGAAAACTTGAAACAAACCCTATACCAACCCGTCTGGCCAGCGTGGTATAGTAGGCCAAAACCTCCTTTTTAAAGAGAGGCCTATGTCCAGCAGTGGACTAGTATAGGCTGTTGATGATGAAAATTATTCCGACGACAGTCCATCCAGACAAGTCTATTGATACAATATTAAAATAGCAGAATTGAGGCCCTGTTTGCTCCCATTTCCCTTTAGTGTTAACAGGCAGAATACATTTCGCTTCGAACAAAAAATCTATAACGTCATTTCCGTTTCCAGGTGCTTCGTATCCACTTATTGGAGCTGGAGAAAGTCCAGGAGTTATGTCGGGACTTCTGTGGGAGGTACATCGCATGCCTGAAGACTAAAATGCAGAGTGAAAACCTGCTAAGGACTGATTATACTTCTGGTAAGTGTGAGCCTTGTATCTGAGGACTTGGGTTCGATCCGGTGGACCTGTTGGTCTAGTGATTAGTGATAATGATTGCTAAGGAAGAGGTCATGGGCTCGATTCCCACTTAGTACAAATAATTATGTGATTAGCATGATCATCAGTTTATCAATATATTTAAATTCCTTGCTCATCCCAGGGAACGCTGCAATTTTATATTAGCTTCACTTGTATGTTTGTTTGTATGTTTGTAACCGACTCCTTTGGGCGTGATTTTGACTGACTTTAAACGGTCAGAATTCGTTCAAACTTTGTAGATATATCGAGGACCGATGACAATACACTAATTTAAAAAAAATAGTTTGGTGCCTGTTGTCAATCAATAGTAAAAAGCACCCCACGCTTTTTTCAAATTTATTAAAATTTATTTTTTATTTTTTAGTTTGGTTTTCTATAAAAGCGTGTTTTTAGTTTTTTTTAAACTATTTTTTTTTGTGGCCAGAAAGTAAATCCAGGGTGTAAGCTACCTCCATACTAAATTTTATCAAAATTGGTCCAACCGATTGAGCATGAAGAAGTAAAAACATATAAACACACACACAAACTTTCGATTTTTTACTATTAGTGTGATATGTATGTATTTAGAAATATATAAGTATGTTTATCAGCAGTCTATCACCACATGCCGTGTGTCAAGTTATTATTATTATAAAACTAGCTGACCCGCGCAACTTCGTTTGCGTCTCTCAATAGTAATAAATTTTCTCCATTTTTGAAACATTCTTCATTGGTGCTCCGCTCCTATTGCTCTTAGCGTGATGATATATAGCCCATAGCCTTCCTCGATAAATGGGCTATCTAACACTGAAAAAATTTTTCAAATCGGACCAGTAGTTCCTGAAATTAGCGCGTTCAAACAAACAAACTCTTCAGCTTTATAATATTAGTATAGATTTATTAGTGCAACTGTTTTGTCAACAGGTGGCGTTGAAAGCAACAACAATCTGTCGGGCTCTATCGACGAACATTCGAGTACGTCCAACTCCCCGCAATACCAGGTATGAAATGTATGTTAACATCATAACTAATTATAAATATATATATATATTTTATCATATACGTTTTGCCCCGCACAACCAATCTGTGGAACGGGTTATCGTCTGCGGTATTTCCGGACCGATACGACCTTCAAACCTTCAAGAAAAGAGCGTACTCCTTCCTAAAAGGCCGGCAACGCGTTTGTGACTCCTGAGTTGCAGACGTTCATGGGCGGCGATAGTCACTTTCCATCAGGTGACCTGTCTGCCCCCTCTAACAAACAAAATATAAATATATATATATAAATATATATATACAAATTTGTGTTTGTTTGTTACGATTTTACTTCGTAACTGCTCAACTGAGCACTTGTTTACATTTTAAATATACAAATGAACAACCCGACTCATGAAAATAGATATGTACAAGTGGAAAAATATTTGCGCACAACGGGAATCAAAGACGCGACCCTAGAGATCGTTTTTTAACGGGTTTTTTATAGTATAGGGGGCAAACGTGCAGACCAGTCATTTGTAAGTGACTACCGCCACCCGTAAATACCCGCAACTCAAAAGACACAATGTCGTTGCCGCAATTGAAGTCTCCCCCCCCCCCCCCTCCCCCCAGAATCAGGAGTGGGAGGCGGACGAATTAAGTAGAAGTTGAGCTCCTGTAACCTCATCCACTTGGCGAAAAAGCAACGAAGGACCAGCTAACACCGGTTTTCTGTGAGGTTTTGAGGAAGAGTTTTTAACTTGATATGCAATTGATCTGTGTTAATGAAGTGTAATGTACGTGTTGTGTTGCGCAGTCGCCCCCCGCCCCGCTGGCGGCGCCGTTCCCCGCGGCCTTCCCGCCGCACCACACCGACATTGCGTACGCGCCGCCGCAGAGGGATCCTGGTCAGTACTTCTACCTATATATACAAACTTTACCAATATCGGTATAGCTATACGATGGCTGGGGCCTGTATGCCGTCCGTATGGGCCAGGGTAACTCAAAACCAAGGGCCTTTCTTCAAAAGGTAGACCCAGACCCTATACGAACATGACGACCGAATGGTGTAGTGGTTTGTGTAGCAGACAGCTATTCCAAAGGTCGCGGGTTCGATTCCCGCTCAAGTCAAGCATTTGTGTGCATGAACATTTAATGTTTGATTTGGTCTGGGTGTTTCTATGTTTAATAAGTATGTATTTACAAAAAAAAGTATATATGTATTTATATCAGTTGTCTAGTAGCCATAGTACAAGCTCTGCTTAGTTTGGGACTAGATGGCGTTGTGTAAATGTGGTAGAATATTTAAAAAAAAAAAAGTTTTATTTAACTTTGTTTACGGACTAAAAACCAAGGACACTCCTGTGGTTGTTTCGACGTTTCTTCCCAGAGTGAGTCTTAGGAAATGCCAGCTCCTTCTATTTGTAAAGTCTGACTTGTAAAAATATCTGAAAATATTTAATTACAGAAATAAATATCAATCTCTCAACATTTTTCATCGACACTCGGCAAAAGTACACTTCTTTTTTCATTTTGACCATATGAATAAAAAATTTACGTTCGAATAGTTTTCCTATAATATAATTATATGGTGTTGTGTTGCAGCGTCCCTCGTAGTGCAGGGTTCGACGCCAATCAGCCAAATAGGCGCGGGGCTACTCTCCACAGACTCCTTCACAGGTGAGAGCCTATTCTTTATACAATATCTCACCCTTCTTAGGTTGACCCTATTACGTTGGAATAAAATTTTAGTTGGCATAATCTATCAATTTCATAAGTGTATGTTAATATATTGTTAAGTTTCAATAAACAGTAAATTTTGTATGAAATAAAACAATCTTGATACGATACATGTATTACTGTTATATATCGACGACCGAATGGCGTAGTGGTTTGTGTGACTGACTGCTATTCCAAAGGTCGCCGGTTCGATTCCCGCTCAAGTCAAACATTTGTGTGCATGAACATTTAATGTTTGATTTGGTCTTAGTGTTTCTATGTGTAATAAGTATGTATTTACAAAAAAAAAAGTATATATGTATTTATATCAGTTGTTTAGTACCCATAGTACAAGCTCTGCTTAGTTTGGGACTAGATGGCGTTGTGTGTATGTGGTACAATATTTAATTATTATTTAAAGCTAGCGCGATTTAGGATCATTTGCTAACTGGATGCTAGATGGCGCTACATGGAACACCTATAATAAATGTTACTTTAGTGTATAGTATTTAAATAATAATCAATGTTTATTGCTACAGGCACGAACTCGAACAACTCCTGCTCCTCAGTATCGGGCTCCCCACCACCAGAAGATGACTGCGGCGAGGACTCGAGCGGGAAGCGAGGGGTACTGCCCAGACACGCCACGCAAGTCATGAGGGCTTGGCTTTTCCAACACCTTGTGGTATGTTTCTTCTACCAGACTGTTTTTGACGTGGTGACGGATTAAAAATACGGAGTGCCACCACCCTTATTCGTGGGTGTCGTGACAACAGCACTGCAAAGAGATGGAAAACTTGAAACAAACTCTGCACGGATGGCGCTACTACTACGCTGGCAGGCAAACTTGAATGTAGGAGGCCAAAACTTCCTTTCTAAAGAGAGGCTTATGTCCAGCAGTGGACTGTTGAAGGCTGTTGATGATGCACTGACTGCACGGATGCCGTAGTGGTTTAAGCGGTCGCCAGGAGTGTTGTGAGTTCGATCCCCACATGAGACGACACTTTGTGTGATCCACAAATTGTTGTTTCTGGGTGTTCTTTGTGTCCGTTTCATGTATGTTTGTAAAGTCCCCGCGACAGAAAACATTTTCCTAAAAAAAGGAAAAGAAATACCAACCCATCTGGCCAGCGTGGTATATTAGACCAAAACCTGCTCTCTAAGGAGAGGCCTATGTCTAGCAGTGGACCATTCAAGGCTGTCGATGTGATGTGATGTCTTATAATAGGTGGTAGGGGGCACATAAAATGAGTAAACGGGTCTCCTCGAAAACCTTCGCCTGATCGGAAACTACTGTCTTTATTTTGGAGCAAGACAGCACTAATTCCTTTTAAATTATTTCCGGTGAATAACAGTATAACGGCAAGTCCCAACAAGTGATCTTTACATAGGCAGTTTAGTTTAAACATAGTGTCATACAACTCTGCCTACACTTTCATGGAAGTAAAAGGTGTAATGTTAATACGATGGTATACTATGTTGAACAGCATCCGTATCCCACGGAGGAGGAGAAGCGTACCCTGGCAGCTCAGACGCGGTTGACGTTGCTTCAAGTCAACAACTGGTTCATCAACGCCCGCCGCAGGATCCTGCAGCCAATGCTGGACTGTGCAGATAAACCAGGTAACCCATCGGATTTTCTGTTAGGCCTTTGTATCACTTGTATCAGGGATTTCTTTCCTAGGGTACACCTGGTTCCCCGGCAACGGTACCCGAAATGGCGTTCGGTTTTTGGTAGGTTCGAGTCCAACATAACCACCGGTGGGTGGTATCCGAGGGGATTTCCGTACAGAAAAAAAGGCCTTTGTATGACTATCCGGAAACGGAGCGTGTTTTTTTTTTATGGCATGGTAAACGAGCAAGACCCCTTTTTTACGTGTGGAACCCCCTCGGGTCGACACCCTACCGAGGTTTGAGGAGTAGCAAGTGTTATAATTAATGATGAATCACAGTTCACTGTCTACTGCAAAGAGAAGGAAATCTTGATACAAACCCTATACCAACCCGTCTGGCCAGCGTGATGTAGTAGGCTAAAACCTCCTTTCTAAGGAGAGGCCTATGTCCAACAGTGGACTATTAAAAGCTGTGATGATGATGATGATGATTATATATTTTGTTACAGGTGGCAAGAAAGGAAAAAATGGTTCATCAGTGAGTAAGAGATATTGGCCAGATGCGCTCTCTAACCCACAGTTTACTGCTGGTATGTGTTTTATCATTTAAATAATCATTACGCTGAGAAAGGGGGGCTCGTGGCTAAGTGGTAACCGAGTAGTTTAACACATTGTAAAGTTAAGCGATCACAGCCAGGTCAATATATGGATGGGTGACCATTTCTTCACACGTTGAGAACCTTCCGTGTCTTGGAGAGCACGTTAAGCCGTCGGCCTTTTGAGAGGTGCAGATGAATTGCCCGGCTCAGCCACTTGTTACGCTACGCCATCCGTGCAGTCAATACATACACACTATATAAACATACATAACTTTAATATAATATATTGTACCACATACACACAACGCCATCTAGTCCCAAACTAAGCAGAGCTTGTACTATGGGTACTAGACAACTGATATAAATAGATATATATATTTTTTGCAAATATATACATATTATACATAGAAACACCCAGACCAAATCAAACATCAAATGTTCATGCACACAAATGTTTGAATTGAGCGGGAATCGAACCCGCAACCTTTGGAATAGCAGTCCGTTACACAAACCACTACGCCATCCAGTCGTCAAATCGTAATCTTTGTGTATAAAAATGTTCAGTTGGTTTGTGTACCCTTTAAACGTTCTGCATCTGTCGAGCTCAAATGTTTTATCCATCTTTCGCTTCACAATGTGCAAAAGCAGAGCATGGCAGGGAAGGCTAGTCTTAGCACCAGGGACTTCCTTTCTAGGGTATACCTGGTTCCCCGGCTATTAGTACCCGAGACGGCATGCGGTTTTAGTCGGTTCGAGTCCGACATGCCACCGACAGGTGGTATCCGAAGGGATTTCCGCACGGAAAAAAAAAATGGGAAGGCTAGTCTTATATATAAAATTCTCGTGTCACAATGTTCGTTCCCGTACTCCTCCGAAACGGCTTGACCGATTCTCATGAAATTTTGTGTGCACATCGGGTAGGTCTGAGAATCGGCCGACATCTATTTTTCATACCCCTAAATGGTAAGGGTGACCCATCCCTAAATATTTTTTTTAGGCAAAGCAACGTTTGCCGGGTCAGCTAGTAATATATAAAAATACAAAGTCCGATACTAGCTCTCCCCCCCAGTAACTGGGGGAGGCCAGAACCGCATTCTTATAAACTCGAACTGGCTACTGCTAGGAACTTCCTGTAACATTACTTTAAATTAGTTTAAAAAAGTAAAATTCTCTTGCTTAAATTTCCAGGTCTCCTCTCGTCGTCGGAAGACGAAGACCAAGAAGGCGAGGCGTCAGGTGACGAGCAAGATGCTGCGGAGACGGAACAGACTAACTATCCCATACAGCAGACGATGCACTAGAGGAGTTGGGAAGAGAGAGAGAGAGTGTGAGATTTGAGAATAGACAACTGTAGAACTTGGCCGTACTTGCTGTAAAAAAGGTATTAGAAGATTAGTATATCTTAAAAAAATAACCTAATTCATGATACATATAAATGCGTCTGAACAGCCAAGAAATAAAAACCTTACCTCAGATTTAGTGCCTAAAGATGAAGGGACAGTGTGATTTGTTGTTAGTAAGAAAAAAAAATCGCCTAATTAATAGTCTTCTGACTTAATGAGCCGTTTTTTGGCTAACTGTCTAAATTAGTTAGTTAAATAATCTGGCAGGCAATAAAGAAAATGGTATTCACTAGAACTAAGTAATACACCTCACAGACGCAATATATATAACAATTAAGAACATAATATCATGGTGACATCTATAAGTACTTTACCTGAGGTAAAATAAAAATAGTCTATTCCCAAATCCCAGAAAATCGATTTGAAATGTGTGAATTAGTCGATTCCCAGTTACGATTCAATGTATACGTATTAATTCTTAAAAAATCTTTTCATGACAAATGCCATGTCACAATGAAATTCATTTATTTATATATATATACTAAAAAAAGACATAATATAAATATATTGATCAGTATACCGTAACATTAAGTGTAGAATAGAAGTGTGATAGATGGCGGTAGTGTGCGCTCACGAGGAATTATAATCAAAATAGTTAAAAACCATAATTTTTATATCGGTAAAAATATTACCAGCTTATACAAAAATGTAAATAGCGACATCTAGCGACGATAAGCGGAACCATTTAGTAACTACTCATCTCTGCATCGCGCAATGACTGCACGGATGGTGGTTCGGACATGGTTATACTGAATGTTGTGGATTCGATCTCCACATGGGACATCACTTTGTATGATCAACAATTTGTTGTTATGTAAAGTCCGACACAGGATATATTCTTATTGCCGGAGTTCTTGTGATGACTACTGTATATACCACTTTTTAACTTAGACCGTTCGGTCACAGATAGAATCCATTTCTAATATGGTGCATCGAATTGGAGTAAAGGTATGCTTTACCGTACCTACTGTCACAGAGTTTTTATATATAACAGTTATTAGTTAGGGCTGGTCATCTCGGGGTGATGTCGGGGATTGTTCACGTGTTTTAGTAATATACTCATTCTTGCCCGCGGCGTTGCTCGCTTAAATATCGTGCTACCAATAATACCCTCAATCAATTTTTCCGGGATAAAACATCGCTAGATTGACCAAAACTAAATTCTCAACCACAGCAATACATCAGGTATACTAATAATCCAATAACCAAAAGACAAAAAAAAAATGTATTTTCACCTAGTTTAGGCTCCTGACTCCAACAAATATTTGGGATAATTATAAATATGGACTAGCTGACCCGCGCAACTTCGTCTGCGTCTCTCAATAGTAATAAATTTTCTCGGTTTTTGAAACATTCTTCATTGGTGCTCCGCTCCTATTGCTCTTAGCGTGATGATATATAGCCTATAGCCTTCCTCGATAAATGGGCTATCTAACACTGAAAGAATTTTTCAAATCGGACCAGTAGTTCCTGAGATTAGCGCGTTCAAACAAACAAACAAACTCTTCAGCTTTATAATATTAGTATAGATTATGTTATCCCCAAAAAAAATCAAACTAGTATACGCGTAGTGAACGCACACTATCTCTTTCTCACTCACACAAACCTAGAACCTTGTATACGTAATCATACCTCAACTATCTATATTTAAAAAAATAACTTTTCATATTATCAAAAAGATTTTGGCTACAAAATTGAATAGTGGTCTTTTGGTACTATAGACAATTTAAGACTAAAATGTTCTTAATTTTAAAACGTTTTTATTTTAAGTGTCTTAAATTTTAGATATAAGTATTCAAAAGATCGCTATTCAAACATTGGTTATGTGTAAAATCGTTTAGATTTGTAACTTCACAATGAAAATAAATAAAAACAGATTTTGTATGTAAATATGTCAATAAAAAAGAATAAAAACATCAACAATGTATTCAATCAAATCGATTTTACATATAATAATAATGGCAACACTAAAAAATATAAACAGACGAAAATTGGCCTCAAAGAGGTCCTTTGTTTAGCATTTCGTCAATTTTAATGCCGGTTGTGAATTAATGTACTTGCGTTTCTTTCCCACCTATCCTTACCGACTGAGACAGAAATAGTTGCTAAGGATTTTTTCTACATTGCGAAACTATAATGTACCGTCCACTCAGATGATTGTATTTATTTATAAAAAAAAATATGTGTAATAAGTTTTTAAAAGTACTCATTGTTAATTTTCTATTAATTTTTTAATGCAGCCATATTAGATTTTATTTTTTTCTTGTATTTCATATGCTGTCAAGTGTCATTCTAAAAATATCAAAAAAAAAAACACTACCACTGAAATATTTTTTTACACTGGTAACATTTTACCACTAAGATACCCAGTGTAACCAGTATAAAAATAATGCTATTTGTAAATCTATTTTTAGCGGTACTTTATGTTTACACAAGGTTTCTATTCTAATTGTACTATCATGGTCGCCCGAACATACGTCGAGTAACATATGGTATCCTCATAACTATTATTGTGTTACTATCCGGATTTACATGCAAACAATACAATTTATGTATTTATTTGAACTGGCAATCTGTACCATAAAGTGTAATAATGGCAACATTTATAAATGGCACTTGACAGCATACGAACACTAGTGTTTAAGTATTAAAAAAAACAATACGAACGTAAACTTACTATACGATATCCATTAAAATATAGTATACTTCGAAAACTAAACGTTCAATGCAAAATTGTATACGCGAAAAAGTATTAAAAAAAACGTAATTGACACTTAAAATTTAGTCTAGATGTCCAGCTATTAATCGACTAAATTAGTCTTTAGTTTAGAAACTAATGACTAATCGTCTCGTCAATATTAGTCAGTTTACTAAAAACACTAGTCGATTAACCGCTGGTCACCTGTATTTAGATGTAAAACTTATGGCGGGGAAAAAGTGGTTACGGATTAAATAATATCGTAAAAGTTTTGTACCAAAATTGTTTTAAATAATTAAAAATATATTTTTAAATACAGGAATACTTATGCAATTGTCACAACTGTGTGTGATAATGTTAATTATTTTTGTTAATTTTAATAATGATGTAGTCTTTGAAAGTGTTACTTACCAAATAGACTAGATTCCTATTATCATCATCTCAGACGAAAGACTTTCACTGCTGGACATAGGCCTCTCCAAGCCACAACAACCGGTCCTGTGCTGCCCGCATCCAACGGCTTTCCTCAGCCTTCACTAGGTCGTCGGACCACCTTGTGGGAAACCTACCACTGCGTTTTCCAGTTTCCTATAGATACCTTCAATTATATAACAATACCCAAAGCCTGACGTACCTATAAGCCAATAAGGCTCCAGCCTATAATGGAAGGAATCAATGGGGTGCTCAACTCTGGTCTTGGTTTTTGGTCTGGCCTGTCTCTGGGTAACCACTATTAATTTTATGGACTGGGTAAGGGGAGTTAGTCAGTCCCAACATTAAAGTCCCAAAAAAAAACATTAAAGTTATGTATCAAGTACGTCATAATTTTTTGAAAATAGCAACGTGTGACGTCACAAGTTGTGATTTCGTACAAAAGTGTTATAGAATGATCAATGATAAAAATCGAATTTGACAGTTGATTTGACACATTTCGCAGAAATCTCCACATAAAAGGTGGAGAAATTTGGAGACACACAAGTTTGGAGAAATATGCACCCAAATGGCTGCAAGACCTGTGTCTCATAAGTTGACTGTGTCGATGAGCAGCGATAGTTGCTTAACATCAGATTACCCGTCAGTTTTGCCCTCTATACCCGTGGAACAAGTAGTCGTCTGCGGTATATCCGGACCGATACGCCCTTCAAACCTTCAAGAAAAGAGCGTACTCCTTCCTAAAAAAGCCGGCAACACGCTTGTGACTCCTGAGTTGCAGACGTTCATGAGCTGTGGTAGTCGCTTTTCATCTCCGTCTGCCCCCCCCCCCCCCCCCCCCCCCCCTCTTCCATAAAAAAAAATACCATAAAAGAGATGATTGATCTTAAATTCGACATGTGTATATTTTATTTGTGATATAATTTTAATATATTTTTGTCTATATGTAACAAAAAAATCATAGCTAATTAAAAAAAAAATTGACATGTAAACTACAATTCTATTCTTCCAATTTTGAATTCCAGTGCTCGATCCAAATTCAAATGTGAGCTTGTATGTATAGCGATAGTCTTCCATTTGTATAATTGTGGCAACACAGTGGTGGCATAACATTTTGTTTTTTTAATACTTTGGTATAAAATACGATATTCTTTTATCTCAAGAGTGTAAGTGGATGTTGGGGCTATGATATATATATTTATATAGCTTAATATCTTATGTAATATCTTTAACATAATTAATATGAAGAAACTTGTTTAAACATGTCCGTCAATGTATAAGTGTTTTGTAAAATCATTTTAGGTTGTAATATAATATTCTAATACATTCACACAACGCCATCTAGTCCCAAACTAAGCAGAGCTTGTACTATGGGTACTAGACAACTGATATAAATACATATACACTTTTTTCGTAAATACATAGAGAGTACATATAATACATAGAAAAACCCAGACCAAATCAGACATTAAATGTTCATGCACACAAATGTTTGACTTGAGCGGGAATCGAACCCGAAAAGTCCGTTATTTAAACCAAACTGAATACGGCAGTGTGTCTATAACATCATCATCATCATCAACAGCCTTTAACAGTCCACTGCTGGACATAGGCCTCTCCTTAAAAAGGAGGTTTTGGCCTACTATACCACGCTGGCCAGACGGGTTGGTATAGGGTTTGTGTCAAGTTTTCTTTCTCTCTGCAGTGCTGTTGTCCTGCGTATTTCGCTCCCTTAGTCGCCTCTTACGACACCGACGGGATGAATAGGGGTGGTGACACTCTGTATTCTTAATCCGTCACCACACGGAGTGTATAGAACATCACCATATTATGTTGTATGTGTATAAACATAAAAGTTAAAAAAGGACGTCCATTAATTACGTGAGCATAAAACTTTCAATCTGACTCTCGGCTAAGTGGTACCGAATATGTTAAGCATTCCTCGTTGCAAAGTTAAGCAATCATAGCCAGGTCAGTCTATGGATGGGTGACCATTCTTAACACATTGAGACCCCTCCGTGCCTAGGAAAGCACGTTAAGCCGTCGTTCCCGTCTACCATTAAAATAATCATCTCTGACAATCGTTATAGTTAGTTGGATACTACAAAACTTCGAAATCGCCTAGTACTTGGGTTGTGGAGGTCGAAAGGTAGGTAGTAAAAAAAAAGTAAAAAGTCGAAGTTTAGCCGTATCGTAGTAGATTGGAGGAAAAGAAAATCTTCTTTAAAACATGGTGTCGGATTATAAAATATGCTTGACTAAATATAGTCGAAATACACATAAATACTGAACGCTCTGCAACTAGTTTCCAAATCAAGTCTGGTTACAATAGTACAGATACTGCTTAGTCTGGAATCAGAAGGCTGTGTGTGATATGTGTTAAGTTCTTATTATTATAAACTTAACCCTTGAAGAGTCATGCTCCAGCATAACGGCTCGACCGGATTAATACAACGGGCTCACAGAAAATCGCTGTTAGGCAATGTGGTGTCCTAAACCCCTCTGCCCATATTTCAGTGGGGGGACTCAAAGGCTGCAACTTGTGACCTTTGTGTTGCAGATGTCTATGGGTGGCGGTATTCTTACCATCAGATGTTCTGCTCGTTTGCCCTTTAACTTCCATTATTTTAATTTCAATAGTATATTCTATAAATTTAATCAATCTGTCAAGTGAAATATTATCGTAGCTCCAACGTGACATGTTAAAAAGTAAGTAAATTTGAATATACGACGCAACGGATATACGTAAACGGAAGTGTGAGTAAAAGAGATTATAACATTGTTTAATGATGTAACAATTATGTATTTAGTACATATACATTTAATATACAGCGCGTAGATATATTATTGTAATGTAATTTTTTTAATTATACGGTCTGTGAATTTGAACGCCAAGGTTTAGAATAGATTTGCGGCATAAACAATTTTTTTTTGTTTTTGAAAATCGGACACTAATCTAGTTATTTTTTTCTATGTATGCCTACGATTTTAGTCTCACTTATATAATAGTAAGCTTGTTGCCGTCAATCGAACACTTTAGTGATTAAATGGGAAAATTAGGTGTGTTATCTTAGAAAAGGAATATTGTTTACTTGAGCAATAAGTCGAGCAGGTCAGAATCATCATCGAAAGCCTTTAGTAGTCCAGTGCTGGACATAGGCATCTCCTTAGAAAGCAGCCAGCAGTTTTTGGCCTACTATTCCACACTGGCCAGATGGGTTGGTATAGGGTTTGTGTTAAGTTTTCCTGCTCTTTGCAGTCCTGCGTAGTTTCCTCTCTTACGACACCCACGGGATAAATACAGGGGTGGTGTGGTGACACTCCGTATTTTTAATCCGTCACCACACTGAATTAATAATTTTAACTAAAACTGGATATGCTACGCTTCTAAAATATTCTTTTTGTTATGTCTCAAATATTAATGTTAAAGATTGCTCCAAAGCAAAGTTTTTTCCTATTAGTTAATACAACCTATAGCCATAATGGAGCCATCTACATATACAATTTTAACGGACATTATTTCGTACTCAGAGACGGTTTTTTCTACATAATAAAACCTTTATATATGCTATAATTAATACGAGAACAGAAAAAGTTATGCTATATTCGTCAAGAAGCATTGTTGATCTATTATCATAAAGGATTTCAAAAATATGTTCATAATTCACCATCAGTTTGAAATGTCTTATTAAGCGACGTTTTCAATAAAATCTTTCGTCTCGAACAAGCTGCCCATAATTCAGAAGATTCATAAACTGTGTAGTGTCCGATTTTCTGGTATGATATCGGCCAGTGAATGGCTTTTTTTATTTCGTTTAGAGCGTTCGTTAGTGATCAGAGTCCACTTATAGTATACTATAGTTATAATGCTTCATTAGTCTATAAGTTACCTTCAATGTTATACATTATGATACAGCATAATTTTTTGCTAGTCAATAAAATAATTTTTAGGCTGACTATTCTTTTATTTTCCCTTGTCTGTATATTTTGTTGCGGTCATTGATTTTCTTGTAATAACATTGTATTTGGACCAATTTCAAAATAAGGAGGAGGTAGTTTTTTTATGTTTGTTACCTCAATACTTATATGAACGGATTTCAAAATTTATTTTTTTAATTGACTGCACGAATGCCTTAGTAGCTCAAGCAGTCATCACGCCGCATTCTACTGCACTGAGTATTGTGGATTCGATGTCCACACGGCTCAACAGTTGTGTGATCTAAAAATGTTTGTTCTGACTGGTTGTTCTTTGTAATTGAAAAAAAAATGGTCAAATACTTCCTATATAGTCTCATTCAAATTTAAAGAAAAAATTCCACACAAAGTCAAACTCAAGACATCTTTATTTCTTAAAAAAATAATTGAAATTGTCATGAGAAGAAAGGGCAAACAAACTCATGGCTACTCTTTTTTAAATTAACAGATACATACAATGTTGGTTGGTTGGTATGTTTACTACATTTGTTTCAGCACTAACATCATGTATTTATAATATTTTTTTATGCTATATAAAAAGTTTACCGTACGTAAAACAATGGCAAATATCATACAAATTGATTTTGCAAATTAACAGACATACAATGTTGGTTGGTAGGTTTTAAATTAACAGATACATACAATGTTGGTTGGTTGGTATGTTTACTACATTTGTTTCAGCACTAACATCATGTATTTATAATATTTTTTTTATGCTATATAAAAAGTTTACCGTACGTAAAACAATGGCAAATATCATACAAATTGATTTTGCAAATTAACAGACATACAATGTTGGTTGGTAGGTTTTAAATTAACATACATACAATGACATCATTAAATTTACACAATTATAGTGACTAAAAGGTAAAAGGCAGTGAAGAGAAAACAAGATATAGAAAAAACATGGAATCAAAAAGAAAGTGAAATAAAACATTAAAAAATGCAAAATTACATAAAAGACATGACATTTCCACTACGAAATAGCCTGTGCTAAATTAATCCCAAACATTCTTGTCTTCTATGTAATCCACAAGAGAGTAATATGCTTTCTAACATAGTTTGTTTTATTGTGGATTTAAATTAGTTTATACTAAAATCTTGTGTACTACTTTGGATTTAATTATAGAATCGGACACATTGACCTCGAAATGACTTGTTTATCTTTTGGAGCCTAAAGGCAGGTACAACAAGTTTATTCCTATTTCTAGTATTTAAAACATATACATCACTTCTTTTCAAGACGCTATCTTCTAGCTAGTTTTATGAACATATATAAAAGTTTCATATATATATTGATTTGCCACTGTCATTACGTTCATTTCTTTAAATTTCTGCCTCAGTGAACAACAATTGTCTAAATTGCAAATTGCTCAAATGACTCTTTTACAGCACAATAGTTTGAATGTCGGCAGCATTCCCTCACAGTCAAGAATAATCATTCAATTTTCGAATTTTTCTAACTGCATATGCTGCTGAGCTGGGTCTACTCGATAATTTATCTATATCTGGGCCCCACTGTAGCTTAGAATCGAATGTTATTCCTAAAAATGTTGTTTGTATCCACAAGGTTTAGCTTGAAATCCTTAATCATCACAGTGGTTTTCACTGGCTTGACATTTGGCAGCGTGAACCATAGACTTAGTTTTTTTTTAAAAGTAAATTATTAACGTCAAACCAATGAGCCACTCACACTCACACCACACCATGATGAACTCCTCGAACTAACTTTGGTTGGAAGCTACTAACTTGTTGTGGTTATAACTTAAGTCTTTCTTCTTCTTGGTCTAGTTGATGTTCTAGCTTCCTGATCCTATTCAGGGCCTACTCATACTCATCCCTACATGTATCAAAGCTGTCAACAAGAAGTTGGAGCTTGTTCCGGGCATCAACAGAAACTGAATATTGACCGTGCAGCAGAGACATTTCTTTTCCGAATTTCTCATTCTCTTTCAATATCTCAAGGATTTCCCTTTCTCCAAAGAGTTGATCCACCATCTCAGTTGCCTTCAGTTCGCTCAAAGTCAGTTCATGCTTGAACTCCAAATGACGAGCTAAGGCAATACATGCCTGAACGATGGTGTACTGTTTTGCGAAAACTTTTATTAACTTATCACCAAGCAAAAGTTGATATCACACAGGAGAGGGTAAGTTTTGTAGTGTCACTACACTTTTACTTGAATTGTATTGAAGAAAATAATAAATAAATCAAGTATCGATACTTGTAAAGCGATGACAATAAATCCAAAGCACAATTTGTTAAACACTTATTGTTCTACGTGACTTACCGGTAACCTTATCGTCACTTACAAACTTATGTGTATTTTACTATAAAACCACTTATAAACTATTCTTATTTTAATTTTTGTAAGTATTATTTATTTGTTTGGTGAGGAATTGGTATTGAAAGAATATTTTACACAAAGAATACTATTTAAATTTTAAAAATAGAGGGAAGCGATTCAGATCAGCTGTTTACCGCGGGGTTGCCACAAGCAATAAAGTTATAAGGGTAGAATAGCGGGGATTTAATATTCTTTTAGAATAAAAAACAAAATACAGATTTTTTTCTGTTTAATATTACTATATTAAACAAGCCTACAGTAACCACATTTCCCTTTAATCTATTGAATGTTACAGTATCAACTTTTGTTCTTTTTGAGTGATTTTAAAATCTCCTTTAAGTATTTATTCCTAAATTGAAGTCGTTGAACTTTTTGCTTTAATGTTTTTATTTTCCTTTTTTGTTTCCTGATAGTGTCTTGTTTCTTGATGAGACTTTGTTCCAAACACTGTTTCCTTCGACTGTAAGGTATTGTTAGTACTTGTGCTTCTTTAGTTTCAGAAGATTTCTAATAAAGAAACATTTATACAATTAGCTAACAATGTCGGTTAAAAAAAAATATAAAAATATTTCTTACATAATCTATACCACAATAATATAGTTTTCAGATCTGAAAGCCAATTTTCGTATTAATAGTTCGTTTTCAATTCAGTTCCGATCAACTTTAGATCTTACAACTATCATAAAAGGTATCTTCGTACTAAAATAGTAAAGTTGATCGGAAATGAATTAAGACCGAACTTTCATCACGAGAATTGGTCTTCTGTTTTAAATTCTGTTATTTCATTACCCACCTCCTGAATATTAATGGAAATATTTGGTTTGGCAGATTGTTTGTCTCGTAAATCGAGAGCTAAGGCATCAGGCGGTTCCACTTTTGTCCCAATAACGGATATACTCTAAAAGAATAATAATTATTAAAAAAATTCACGTTATTATTTAGTTTTGTACTTTTAAAGACAACTCTCGCACTATGAACATATCTTTACAAACAGACATGAAACGGACACAAAGAACACACACACTCACAACCCTTCAAAATAGTTACACTTGTACATGTGTGTAACTTATTTTCAATAATAATATTTATTTCAAAACGCACCTTTTGTAAATTATCAGAAATATTTGGTTCAGCAGATTGCTCGTCCGTCCGTAAAACCATAGTTGAAGAACAAGGCTTCCCAAGTGCTGGCACAAAAACTGATGCGATCTAAAAAATATGCACAGTACAAAAATTTATCGGGGATTACTGTACAAAGTTTATCATTATCAAACATTATGAAGACAAAAACTTATTTCATTCATAATAATATATATTTAATTTATCACGCACCTCTTGTTTAATAGGTTGTTCCTCTGCCATGTGTGCGGACTCAATTAAAAACTAAAAAACAAATAATAACATTGATCTATTATGACGTACTGGGGATTAAAATACTTATGAATTTTTATTGTTTTACTAGCTGACCTGGCAAACGTTGTTTTGACAAAAAAATATTTAGGGGGTCACCTTGCTGTCATCGCGGCGGTAAGACCCGTTATGGAGGATTGGCTCGAGAGGCGTCACGGGACCCTCTCATACCGACTGACGCAGGTGATCACTGGGAAAGGATGTTTCGGGGATCACCTGTGTCTGATCCGCAAGGAGCCAATGCCTGAGTGCCACCACTGCGATGGCCAGACCGTGGACACGGCTCTCCACACGCTGGCAGAGTGCCCGGCGTGGGTTGAGCAGAGGCGAGACCTCGTGGCGGCCATCAGAGTGGGAGTTCTCTCGCTCGATAGCCTGATTGCGGCTATCGTGCGAAGCGAGAGTGCGTGGAACTCTGCCGTCTCCTTCTGCGAGCAAGTTATGCTCGCGAAGGAGACGGCGGAAAGGGACCGGGAGAGGTTGAGGACTCTCCCGGCCGGGAACTCCAGGCGCGGGAACGGGCCAGGTACCGCAGGTGACTCAGGCGCCGGCGGTCGCAGAACGACCTCCGTCCTCCATAAGCGCAGGCCTGGGGGTGACAGGTGAGGCCATCTGTCACCCTAGCAGAAGCAGGCCGGAGTGGCGGCGAGCGCGTTGCAAAGCGCGCTCGCTTCCAGGGAGCAGAGGGAGCATGGGGTTCCCATACGGGGGGGTCGTCTACCTGTTGTTGTAGATGGCCCGAGGTATGTCGGGGCACCAGGGACCTTTCTAGGGTATACCTGGTTTCCCGGCTATTTGTACCCGAGTCGGCGTGCGGTTTTAGTCGGTTCGAGTCCGACATGCTACCGATAGGTGGTATCTGAGGGGATTTCCGCACGGAAAAAAAATTAAAAAAAAGGGGGTCACCTTATCATTTAGGGGTGTGAAAAATAGATGTTGGTCTCATCGAATAATACACACACAGAATCGGTCTCAGATCTACCCGATATGCACACAAAATTTTATAAAAATCGGTCCAGAGCGGAGGAGTTTGGTAACAAACACCGCGACACGAGAATTTTATATATTAGATACATAACAATGTATATGTAGATTTGGTAAAAAGTAAAGAAAAAGAAAAGGTTGAAAAAATTATAAATACCATTTCAGGTTAGATTGTTAAATTACCTTTTGAGGTACTGCGTAAGTAACAACACGGCGGAGTCCTCCTTTAGTTGTATATAAATCATTAGCTTCAAAATGTATGCTGCAAACAACACTGTATTTGTTTGGGATCCAATCATTTTCACCATTACAATTTCTAATTATTTGTATCCAATCATTTTTCCATACTTCATTTTCCCTAGAAAATCTAGTAAAAAAATTAGGAAATAAAATACGTAGTACGATAACTATAAAATAAATGATCTTAATAAATTGATTTTAATAATAAATAAACAATTTTCTATATTTCGGGTAATTTGAAGACGTGAATATTGGCAACACTGGACTTTAATGAATTCTTTTGTTTGGCGAATGCAGATTGATTTTAATACATAAAATCTAGAAATAAGTGGTTGAATTATTCATTTACCTATGAAACGTGATTCCTGGATTATTTTTCTTTCGGTCGCTACGGTTTTTACAGCCTTTCACCACGCAAGACATGTTGTATATTTTTATTTTTAGCCTCGTAACGCGTCTTACTGTCTCGATGTTGGCGCGCGTAATGGCCGACTAATATGTGTAAGTGTGCGTACCAGCCATACGTACTAGACATGAAAATTACAGCTACTTTAAAATCATATTCATTGAATGAAATTATTGGTTTTAGTCACAGCGATTACACATGTGATTGTGATTTCGTCATAGACAAAGATAAATGCAATGCATTAAATTAAAACAAAATAATTTGTGTTAAAGATTACGACCTTGTCTTTTTTTTTGATTTAGACCTTTCGCGCGTCTTGCGATAGCGTTATAATAATATAGCAGAGTTTCTGTAAATCAGTCACACGTGTGGTGATATGATTTATAAATCATATGATTTAACACATGTTATTGTGATTTTATGCCATCTCTAGTACGTACAGCTACCTGACCGACTCTGAGCGGCACTATTTTGTTAGCGAGACTATGTCCGACTCTTTTAATACGTTCATGTTTTCTTGTTATTGTTTTAGTATTTTTAGTCTAATATTAATCGCGAGTGAGCTAACATCCATACACACATTCAAACAGATTTAGCTGACTAGTAAAAATATTAAGTAAGTAACTTTTATAAATAAAGGTTACATCACAGATTACCCCCTAATAGATATTGCATTATAGAATATTTATTTGTTTTGGTTCGAGTTCACCAAATTTTACAAGGTGTGCGGGGGGCTCGATTGAATATCTCAAGGTCAGATAGCACCGACCCATAGTGATGGGACAGGGTTGAGACGTTCATTTTTCATTTCATTAATTTTATTTATTTATTTTATTGGCTCACCAACAATTGTATACATTGGTTATTATTTTAAAGACACATTACAATGAGTATGTAGTGGCATAGTGTTACAATTACTTATAGGTAAGCACCTCATGTGCTATAAACAATAATTATTTTATGCTTATACTAAATTATACAAGTAAGTTTTGGCAAAAACAGATAGAATCAAATAAAGTACCTTTTATAAAGCATTTTGTATAGTACTGCGGCATTTGGTAAGTGAGTCACCATGTATATCAACCAGGGCGCTGCAACTATTGAGCAGTTTACAAAGTCGTGGGATTGTGGAGTTCGCACCGAGAATACTTCTGCGAATAGGAGGATGCAGGGGGTTGATAGGAAAACGAGGATATCTAGCTGGAGCTTGGAACTTTATTTTACCTAAGAGTTGTGGACAATTACCCTTTTTTTTTTTTCCGTGCGGAAATTCCCTCGGATACCACCTGTCGGTGGCATGTCGGACTCGAACCGACTAAAACCGCACGCCGTCTCGGGTACTAATAGCCGGGGAACCAGGTATACCCTAGAAAGGAAGTCCCTGGTGCCCCAACATACCTCGGGTCATCTACAGACGAGTAGACGACCCCCCCCCCCCCCCCCCCGTAGGACAACCTACCCTATGTCTCAGAAGCTTGTATAGAAATAACAAGTCTATTATATTCCTTCGTTTTTCTAGTGTGAGTAACTTAAAGTGTATCAATCTCGCTTCATAAGATTTTATCTTTTTAGCTACACCAGAGGCATATGCTAGGTGCCACAGGAACCTCTTCTGTATACGCTCCGGTCTTAATTTATGAGTCGCATAATGTGGTCTCCATACAGGGCTACAGTACTCCAGAATGCCACGCACGAGGCAGTTATATAAAAGAATTTTAGTTTTATTACATCGAAACGGCATTTCTTAAGACGAAACCTAGCATTATTGAAGCTTTTTTTACTGTAGTTTCTACGTGTGGTACAAATGTGAGCTTACAGTCAAAAATAACACCTAAGTCCTTGATTTCGTTGACGCTTTGTAAAGCATTTATTCACGTTAACATAGTTTAACAACATACGTTGATCGATAAATTCGGTTTGATGATCATCTGAATTATTGGCGTAAATTTTGTTTGATGCATGTTGATGTTTATGTTGTTGATTTAGTTGTTATTGATAAATAATTATATTGATCAGTGCTTATTCAATATTTATTTAAAAAAATGACGACTAATACGCAATAATACGCCATAGTTTTTACAAAATAAAAAATATGTGTGTGTGAAAAAATATTCACACTGTCAAAATATTATATAAAAAAAAAAATGTGTAATGTATTCTATCTCATTCTCTCGCCGACTTAATCCTATACATTTATGTGTTTGTTTCTTTATCGTGATTGCGTTTTCGTTTCATCGAGTTTCAAATCACAACGATTTTAAAGAAGTTTCACTTCAACAAACGATGACTCAACAAATATCGACCCACTATCGTTACACGTGCTGTCATTAGACAAAGACACATATTGTCATTTACGTAATGACTGAAATGTCCGTGTGGTGACGGATTAAGAATACAGAGTGTCACCACCCCTATTCATCCCGTGGGTGTCGTAAGAGCCGACTAAGGGAACAAACTACGCAAAACAACAGCCCTGCAGAGAGAAAGAAACTTGACACAAACCCGTCTAGCCAGCGTAGTATAGTAGGCCAAGACCTCCTTTCTAAGGAGAGGCTTATGTCCAGCACTGGACTATTAAAGGCTGTTGATGAATAAGTGAAAGACATACATAGTTTTAGTTAAACTTCGGTGCATTTGAAATAGATTTACGTGAAATGAATAGAATTTACTTGGGTGTGTAATATTTGGCATAATAACAGATAGTATAATATCAATGTAAGTCCGCCGATGTACAAAAGTGCATGAAGTTAAATAAATAAATAAATATCATTTGAAATAACGTTCATATTACACAATTTTGACTGCACGGATGGCGTAGTGGTTTAAGCGGTCGCCACGCCGCTCACTACTGCGCTGAGTGTAGTGGTTTCAATCCCCACATAGGACTACATTTTGTGTACTTTGTGACCGTGCCGTTGCGGGCAGGCGCTAGGTTTTATTTGGTCAGATTCCGACGCACCACCCCACCTTAAACCCCAGTGAAGAGACGGCCCGAGGGGGTTTCCTTTCAGACGTAAAAAAAGGGGATAGGTATAAGTTTTGGATGGGTATCCAAATAAGTGACATGTTTTCGCGCCAAAAAAATTACAACTAGATATTTTTAAACATTTATTTTCTTTACAATTGAGAAAATGGATACACTTGAAGCTTAGTCTTTACAAGCACAAGTTCTAAAATAATAATATATCACAAATTATCACATAATATTGTAAAATCAGACTACAATAATACGTAAATATACTTATTATACACATAAATATTATGAAAGCGTAAAAATATTGTGATTTCTTTGGTAATTTCGCAATTAATTATTGAGAATTTAAATCATTAGATGACGCATATCTTAACAAAATTGACTTGATAAAAATATACATACATAACGCCATAACATAGCTTTTATAGAACTCTTTGAATTTTTAGAAGACAATTCATCAAAATATTATGCCCAATACAATGATATTAAATACAAACAAGAGGTAGATACGCCACCAACGCACAAAACGCGAGGGTCCTAATTAGGACCACTGCGAGCGAGCGCACGCACTAATTAATTCGAGACAATTCATAAAACGCCTTCCTGTGTATTCCGAAAGTGCACAAATTACGACAAAAAGGTAAATAAAGATAAAGGAATATGATACCACAGGTAAGTGTATGTTTTGTTCTAAAACGCATTAATAGATGTATGTACGGTTACCGAACAAATATTTTGTACGTGCAGTATGATTATAACGTATCTTTCTTAAATAACATTGGTCAATACGTGTGTTCTGTTAAGCTTTTTTCTTTAACTAATGGGAACGTGCCCATACCACGTAAACGATTTTTTTTACAATATTTGCGCTTGATGGCTTAGCCATTTGAGTGAGCTTGGGGCTCACTCATGTGAGTAGGGATACTCAAGGGCGACCTGAGGACGGTAATCTAATGATTTAATTTGTTTTCAAGTGACACGATATTTTTATAACATCTAAAACACGACTTGCGTGTTAATTTAACATACAAACGCCAAGAATCAACCTGTTATTATATATAGTAAATAGTAGAATAACCTAGAATTTCTAACGTCAATTTTTTATCGTACATAAAATACTTATAGATAGATACAATGTTTAATTAAATATGTCACCGTGATCATGCATAGTGTAAACTAAATCACTGCAGCTTGCAATTTTAAATCATACAAATATAGAATTAACTTAAAAAAAATACTGAAAACAATGCACCTATATTATGATGCATTATAATAAACTGTATTCTTTATAATATTTAATTTACTACTTAGAGCGGTTTTTTTTTCTCTTGTAATTTGAATGTAACCAAACAGGAACTATATTCTCTCCAATAAAAAACGTTTGCGTCTCGGGACGCCCGCCAGAAGTGATAACTTAAACTAATCTAAGTTGAACTTTTTAATATTGAAATTGTTTAACTTGAGAAGAGCTTAGGTTATTACTTAATTTTATGTAATGTATATGTATGCGTCTGTCCGAAATACGCCTAGCGCTGTGGGTTAGAGTGAGAGAGGAGGAGCCTGCCTACCGCTGCCGTATGCGTGAGAGAAAGGGAAGCCAGACAGGCGTAACGCGTAACGTAGCGAAACGGTTTACTCTCCCATAAAAAGTTACCACTTAAATATTTTTTCTCATGGCGAAATTCTAAGGTTACCAGCATAAAAAAGAACCCGTCCCTTTTTGGAGTCGCTTAAAAAGAAAATAATAAAATAACTAACCACATATTTATCTTTCAAACTGCAGAAAAATCAATTTCTGTTATCATTGGTAGAAGTAAAGACACAATTAATGCAACAAAAACCAATTTTTTTTTTTAATTTCCTCTGATTCTAAAAACGTGATGATGACGTGATCATATTGTGTCATGAACATGAAATATCGCTAATAAATTCATGGCAACATAGACGTATTTATTCTAAAAAAAATATCCGCGAGGTTCCTTTACAACAGAATACAAATACATAATAATAATTCGAATAAAAGATAAAATTAATCTTAATAAATCGTCCCATTTTTATAAACATGCAATTATCTTAAAACAAAACCTTTCAAACTCATATAGAGCTTACCATCTTACTACTCCAAGCATCTTTTTCTTTAAAGACACAAGAATAAAGAAGACCTTTTTCGGCCTAAGTTATAACCTCAAAAATATAGCAAAAAAGGTTTAACTGCAATTAAAAAGAAGGTACTCATGAAGAATCTTTGGTATTTCCAATTCTGGTACGACGTCAATGAGGGTAGTTTTAAAGTACCTTCTCAGAAATATCCTAGATTGTGCTAACAAGGAAATTGGAGTCTTAGCACGGTGTATTAGAACTTCTTTTTGCAGAGGAGTGACTACGTTGTTCCTCTTGATCATACAGAGGTCAAACGCTTCGGCCGCTTCTAGGAGTAGGTAGAAGATGTGCTGGTATTCTTCTGAGGTGACGTTCTGGAGATGATTGAGGATGCCGTCGGGATCACGGAATTGAGTTTTCATAATTACCTGAAGAATAACAATTATGTTTAATTCAAAGCTATACGGACTCTTATAAGGCGGTTAGAATGGAGAAAGCTTTGCAGTGTGAGAGCCATAATTTGGCACATAAGGGGTCGACCGAAGTGATAATAATAACATCTCACACACGACCGTCTGATCCCAAACTAGGCAGAGCCTGTACTATGGTGACCAGACTGCTGATAAATAAACATATATACTTCTAAATACAAACATATTGTCACAAAAAATCATTTAACCGCGCAATACCGGGGATCGTTTTAATGATAATGCAGTGTGACATGAAATAATGAGTTTTTTACCAAAACGCATAAGATCAAATAAAGATTGTCGCGATATTATATTGTTTACATTTGAAACGAATTTGTATTTATCAGAAGCGGACAGTTCTCACAGGGAATCTGCTAGAATGTTCCTTTACGAATTGTATAAATACAGGCGGTCTTCGTCGATGAGTTCAGTTCAGTTCGCTCTTGTATCTCTTGAAAACCAGGTGTGTCACGCCCTTTCATTTAGCAAACCGTGGCAGGTTCTGCCACGGTTTGCTAAATGAAATAACTCCTTGGTTATTTCCTGTAGCCTTAGCTGCTTGCTTGCACAAGTTTATGACTAACGGTTTCATAGTTCATATTACACATAGTCCGTGTGGTGACGGATTAAGAATACAGAGTGTCACCATCCCTATTCACCGTGGTGTCGAAGACCCGAAAAGGAAAAAAAATACGCGAAAAACCCAGCACGCAGAGAAACAAAAACTTGGCAAAAACCCTATACAAACCCCCGTTCCCCGCGGGGTATAGTAGGCCAAAACCCCCTTTCAAAGGAGAGGCTTATGCCCAGCAGTGGACTGTTAAAGGTTTTGAGGATTAATAGTTGAAAATTTGGTTTTCGTCTCTAAAAAGGCAAAATTTTCCCCCGTTTTTTTGCAAATTTTTTCATTGCGCTCGGTCCTATTAGTAAGCGTAATGTTATACTGCCTATAGCCTTCCTCTATAAATTATCTATCCAACATTAAAAGAATTTCTCAATATTCCACATTGTCTCCACATGGGACGACACTTTGAGTGATCTACAAATTGTTGTTCTGGGTCTGCGTATTCTTTGTGTCCTTTTCATACATGTCTGTAAAGTCCCCCGCGGCACAGGAGACATTCTTAAAGAGGGAGTTGTCTTTATAAAAAAAATATATTCGAACCAGCATTTCTAAAATTTGCACGTAACGTTGGTCCTGAACTTATTAGGTAGGATTTGATTCCACTTACCCTAGCACCATATCTCAACAGTAGAGTGATAATCTCTGCGCTGGGTGCCACATTGCTCGCCAGATACTCAGCCAGGGCTGGGCGGAGTTGTGTCGCGTCTTCATCGTTGTAGACTTTCAGGTTCGGGTCTGCTCCACTTTCTAGAAGGATCTGGGAAGAAGAAGAAACATCGTTTTTGAGTGTATCTTAACCTATTAGCTTTAATTAATAATATCTCGATCAATGATAATCATCCGTGTGGCGACGGATTAAGAATACGGAGAGTCACCACCCCTATACAACCCGTGGTTATAAAACCTTACATTCTTATCAGGCAGTTGTCAATGTGGTGACGGATTACCATTACGGAGTGTCACCACCCCTAATTATCACGTGGGTATAGTAAGAGCCGACCAAGGGAGCAAACTACGCAGGACAACAGCACTGCAAAAAGAAAGAAAACCCGACACCAACCCTATACCACCCCGTCTGGCCAGTGTGGTATAGTAAACCAAAACCTCCTTTCTAAGGAGAGACTTCCTTTCTAATGATGATGATACTTTGACACATGTCATACCTGGCTGTCTGAACTTAAACTAGGCAGAGTCTGGCCTGCTACAGTCCACTGATGAGCATACTTATACATTTCTAGACATAAACATTACAGCGTAACAAAGAACACATGATCGTGTCCTTTGTAAAATAATTTGTTCTTGATGGGAATTTTCTGAACTCTGTCTTCGCAGTCATGGTCACTAATCACAATACCAACAAGTCAGACATTATATTTTTACACTTCATAGCTTTTTCATGGAATGGGAGGCCATCGAGCAGACAAGTCATCAGCCACAAAAGTGCAATCCCGACCTTTGACAAGGGAATAAGCTCTTTTCTTCTAGGTTAATGATGAAGAAACACTAGCTTTTTGATCACTCAGAATGTCCTCGTGTAAGATAGAAGAAAGAATGCTTACCATCGTAACTTGAAGATTAAAAAGGAATAAAAGCTTGAACTAACCAGATGCGCAAAGTTGGAGAAGGCTATTGGCTGGAAAGGAAACACTTTTTGTGTTTGAAATAGGTTTCCACTCACTCCATCAGTGGACAGCTGGTGATATGGATGAAAGACAAAAGCAAGTCAAGTCATAGAAAGTTAACTCACTTTGACGATTTCCTTCCCATTTGCGATGTTATCGGAGCAGGCGACGTGCAATGGAGACCCGATGACTGAACTCGAAGCGTTCACTTGGGCACCTACGAGATAAAAAGAAATAGATTTAAATCATACTGTAGTTAGAAATGTGCGTTTTTTTTAGTTTTAGGTAATAATTTGAATGAGGGATGGAATAAAATCAATATCGCATGTCATAAATCATATGATTTACAAATCATATAGTCACAGTTGTGACTGATTTTCAAAATCACTGACACTTATTATTATTATTACGCTAGCGCAAGACTCGCGAAAGGTCTAAATCTAAAACAATGTCGTAATCTTTGATAAAAATAATTTTGAAATATTTTATTGGCATTTATCTTTATCTATGATAAAGTTACAATCAGATCTAAAATCGCTGTGACTAAAAGCAATCATTTCATCAAATTTATAAGTAGCAATAATTTCCATGTCAAATTTGAACAAAAGAAACTATGTCAAAATATAATAATAACCTCACCCATATCACACACCGCTGTCTGATCCCAAACTAGGTCCTGCTCCCTCAATAGGAACCGCCTACTCCCGCACTAGGAATATATCCTGTATCGCGAGGGACTTTACAAACACAAAGAACACTCAGAACGACAATTAGATGATCACACAAAGAGTTGTCCCATATGGGGGTTGAACCCAAAACACTCAGTAAACCACTACATCATCCGTGCAGTTAAACACTGTCATTTCTAAGAAGATAAATTCGATCAGAAATACACTGACCAGCATGTAACAGCATCTGTAGCATGCTGACATCTCCTTTCAATATTGCGAGGTCTAAAGGACTCGGCTTGCTCAGTTCTGGACACTCATAGTTCACTCGGGCTCCTTGTTTGATTAATAAATTCACCACCTCTGGGTTGCCTGAATAAAAAATATATTTAAAGGTTTCATTTCGTAAAGAGACATTAAGTAGTTTGGTAAGCTAAATATATATTATTCTTTAAATATCTGGATAAAATATTGGTATAGAATTTACAAAATTGGTATCTTGGTCATTTTTAAAGAGACTAATCCCTCTCACACACCCACTAGAGTAACTCCTGTACACCAGGATCAACAGCAGTGACCCATGAACACACCGAATTATAAAACTAGGGCAGTTCAAGTAAAAAATAAAAACTGTCTTGGAACCCGCAAGGAAATTAGTCAGAAGTAAATTGGAGGAGTGGGAAATTAATAAATCCACTTCCCTGCTTAACGAAACCTTTTAAACAAGAAAGCACCAAGGCTACAAAACATTATGGGTCCTAAGTGAGCTATATTTTATATGTTGTTTGTCTTCACCATTAGATGTTCCTGCGTTTGTATCTTCTCTGACTCCAGACAGATCATCCGCAATTACAGCCAATTTACTCGCTGCAGTTGCGTTTCTCATAAGAGTCTTGATGTATCCTATAGGCACCCTCTCTCTCCCTTTACTTTACCAATAAACTTTCTTCCTTTGTCAGGTCAGTAGGGTAGCAATACTCTTGGAAATTTTACAAATAGCGCCCACTCCCAGTAAAGTTAGGAGAAGACCAGGAAGGTGATGATGATTGTATTTAGTTTTAATTAAAAGTAAAGCAAAAACCTCCTTTCTAAGGAGAGGCCTATGTCCAGCAGTGGACTGTTAAAGGCTGTTGATGATGATGAAAGCATAAACTTACCACTGAGAACGGCATAGTGCATGACTGTTCTGTAGTCACTCCGTGCATCGGTCATAGCGTTGACATCGGCCCCGAAGCTGATCAAAAGCAACACAGCGTCCATACCCTGGAAAGAGTTTAATCATCAACATCATCATATATATTTTTTTTATGTTAGAGGGGACAGACGAGCAGACGGGTCACCTGATGGAAAGTGCCATTGCCGCCCATGAACGTCTGCAACTCAGGAGTCACAAACGCGTTGCCGGCCTTTTAGGAAGGAGTAAGCTCTTTTCTTGAAGGTTTGAAGGTCGTATCGGTCCAGAAATACCGCAGACGATAACCCGTTCCACAGATTGGTTGTGCGGGGCAAAAAGTTTCTTGAACAGAGCACAGTAGGGGAGCGCCAACTATCCAGGTAATTAGGATGAAAATTTTGTCGTGTGGAACGATGCCGGAAATTTGCATATCGGCTGGTATTAGTCCGAACAATTCCTCAAAGCACTCTCCATGATATATGCGATAGAGAATGCAGAGTGAAGCCACATCTCTACGTAACGCCAAGGGATCGAGCCGATCGGAGATGTTTGGGCTATCGACGATTCGAGTCGCTCTTCGTTTTCGCTTGAAAGCAGTATTCCATATGCAACCGGACTTGCGCCTTATAGAGCTGAAGGCGATGAGCCGGAGTGAAATACTGCCTTGATCTGTTCAGGACCTTCAACGCCTGAACAAGACAACCAAACAAACAATCAAACAGACTCATGTTCGCTTAACCGCAAATATACGAGTATATTGTTACGAGTAGGGTATATAATAAACAAAAGTTGTCGGTTAATTACTTTATATCACTGTATTTACAAACACTCACTACTATATTTCTTCTTAGTCGCACTAGAAATTCACCCCGATGTTAATTCGCTGTGTCGTAAAACGAAACTGTGTCGAACGGCCAACACGCTCCGCTTTTATAGTGCTTTTGAATTTTACTAGAAAGTTCCTAGTATTCGACAGTCCGTTCCAAACAAACATGAATATTCCAGAATCTGTCACGCGTTACTTGCAGCGCCATCTAGCGCTGTAAGGGCCAGAACTACTCGTATTAACCACAATCTTAATAGATGTACTTTAGTCGCTACTGTATGTGTTACAGTACAATATGTTACAGAAAAGTGATGTTAAAACTTATTTATTGCTTAAAACACCTTGGTTTAGATTGTTTAGGAACACTTTTCAAATGAACATAATATATAAGTAATTTTCTATTCAATTCAAACGGCAATAAATTTTATGCAGCATTTCAGAAGAATCTGGACACTATCAACATCTTTGTATAGATATTATAGTTTGATTAATGTCTACCCTTCTTCTACGAAATAATTAAGTTCAACACACATTTTTAAATTAACTTTTTACTTTCAAACAAGAAAAAATATTTACTCGAAAAAATATGACCAAAATACATTTTAAAGACAACTACCCGCATTAGAAAAAGTATGCCTGTGTGCGGGGGACTACTTTAAGACATACATGAAATGGACACACAAAGTGTCAGTCCATGTGGGAGATCGGACCCGGATCCACAGCACTTAGCGTAGTAGTAAGCGGCGTGGCGACCGCTTAAACCACGCCATCCGTGCAGTCTTACACGGTACAGTACATTATAAACTTAGGTATAAAGAGTATGAATTACCTTTCTTTGCCTAGCAGCCTTCATAAGAGGTGTGAGTCCAGCTCTATCCCTGGAGTCAGGATTAGCTCCGAAAGTGAGAAGCAACTCCAAATATTCAGGATCCGATACCAGGTTTATCTCCGCACCGAAGAAGTAACGTTTATTCGGATCAGCACCATGTTCTAGAAGAAGACGAGCGACCTCCTAGAAAGAATACTTATTATAAATAGTATTCTATAGCTAAAATATAAACATCATCACATCACATCAACAGCCTTTACTAGTCCACTGCTGGACATAGGCCTCTAGTTAGAAAGGAAAGGAGGTGTTGGGCTACTATGCCACGCTGGCCAGACCGGTGTGTATAGGGTTTGTTTCAATTCTTCTGTCTGCAGCGCTGTTGTCCTGCGTAGTTTGCTTCCTTAGTCACCTCTTACGACACCTACGGTATGAATAGGGGTGGAGACACTCTGTATTCTTAATCCGTCATATCCGTAAAACCATGTGGGAAAAGAAAATGGAACATAAGAAAAATTATGTCTTAGAAGTGAGTCTGGCGAATTGGAATTTTGATTTCTGAATAATACTTACATAATGCTTGTTTCTAATAGCCAATCTTAGTGGTTCGTCACAGAGAGTGGTTCGGGGGAACTCTTCGTCCGTATCAGGTCTGTAGTCTACCGCTGCACCACTTTGCAGCAACAGTTTCACAAGTTCAGTGTAGCTGTAAATGAATACATCATCTAAGTAAAAAAGCCAAATTTTCAGTTGCCAAATAATCTTTTATGAGCCATTTTTCTATTTAGGTATGATGCATAAATTTTATTAAATATTTAATATTAGTTTTCATGGTATTGCACTTCGAAATATTTGTTCTCTCGTTCATTTGTGTACAATAAAAAAATTGACAACAAAATATAAATCAAAAGATAGACAGTCAAAGTGTATGACAAATACTCAAGAATTAAATATCTTACTTCTCTCTACCATAGAGATAATATAAGAAATATAGCACGCAAGAGAAGCATAACCGAGTCTCACGGTGCGAACGAGATCGTTGCACGCAGAGGCCCTCTCTATCTCTTTCTTAATTAGCGCACATGCACAGTCACGTTAATCATAATTATGCAGTGAGAGGGAGATAGAGAGGGCCTCTGCGTGCAACGATCTCTCTCGCACCGTGAGACACCTCAAAGCATTGGGATAGGTGGGATTGGCGTGCTCTATTTCTTATATTATCTCTATGATCTCTACTCATCATCATCACATCAACAGCCTTTAATAGTCCCACTGCTGGACATAGGCCTCTCCTTAGAAAGGAGGTTTTGGCCTACTATACCAGACGGGTTGGTATAGGGTTTGTCACGACGGCTCATTCCCCGCCCTTGTCGCTAAGAGACAAGGGCACTGGATATGTTGCCGTCGAGTGGGGGGGGATCACCATATATGGTGTCTATTTCTCCCCCAACCGGAGTTTGAACGACTTCGAGGTTTTCCTGACCAACTTGGAGACCTCGATACGGCGACTAGCGTCTGGGCACGTCCTTGTGCTGGGGGACTTCAACGCAAAGTCCATTGCGTGGGGTTCCCCCAGGACGGACGCCAGGGGCGAGGCCGTAGAGGAGTGGGCGGCCTCGGTGGGCCTCTGTCTTCTCAACAGAGGCTCCACCAACACGTGCGTGCGACAGCAGGGGGGGGTCGATAGTGTACCTCTCGTTCGCTACCCCTGCCCTCGCCGCACGAGTAAGGAACTGGCGTGTCCTGGAAGAGGTTGAGACGCTCTCGGATCACCTGTATATCCGATTTGAGCTCTCCCGGACCCAGGACTCCAGTAGGGGTCACGTGGCGCGGCGTTTATCCCGCTTTCCGCGGTGGGCTGTTGCCAGGCTGAACCGGGACCTACTAGAGGAGGCAGCCATAATTCACTCGTGGCTGTCTCCTCAGGCTCCGACCGAGGAGGTCGACGTGGGGGCTGGCCGCTTTCGCGATGCGATTACGCATGTATGCGATGCGGCCATGCCCCGCGTTCGAGGTCGTCGGCCTCCAAGGAAGGAGGTCTACTGGTGGTCCCAGGAGCTGGCGGACCTCCGTGCGGCCTGTACACGTGCCCGGAGGTCCTACACGCGCAGTCGGCGGCGTCACCGTGGAGACGGTGAGGAGGACCGGCTTCATGAGGAGTACCGACGGGCGCGGAAAACTCTGAAGCTGGCCATTAGCCGCGCCAAAGAAGAAAAAAGACAGGAGATGCTGGAGGGTCTTAATCGTGACCCCTGGGGTCGCCCTTACCGCGCGGTGCGACAAAAGCTCCGCGCGTCGGGCCCCCCCTTACGGAGACTCTCCAGCCCAGCTTCCTGCGAGAAGTGGTTGAGGGCCTTTTCTCACAACGGGCGGAACACACTCCCCCGTCGATGGCCTCCTTGGCCGGAGACGACGGGGAGCACGGGGAGGATAATGTTCCGCCCGTCCGGGAATCGGAGGTAGGGGCGGCTGTTCTACGGATCCGTTCCAAGAACACCGCCCCTGGGCCAGGACGGGGTACCGGCCCGAGTGCTGGCCCTGGCCCTCAACCACATGGCAGACCGCCTCGGGGAGGTGTTCGACGCTAGCTTGGCGTCGGGACGCTTCCCTGAGTGCTGGAAAAGCGGGAAGCTGGTCCTATTGAGGAAGCCGGGACGGCCAGCCGATTCGGTCGCGGCCTATAGGCCCATCGTGCTGCTGGACGAGGCGGGCAAATTGTTTGCGAGGGTTCTTTCTGCCCGCATCGTCCGGCACCTCTGCGAGGTGGGCCCCGATCTGTCGGACGCCCAATTTGGTTTTCGGGCGGGGCGTTCGACAGTCGACGCCGTGTTGCGCCTGAGGGCCGTGACCGAAGAGGCCGTGAGCTGTGGCGGCGTGCTGTTGGCGGTGTCATTGGACATCGCCAACGCATTCAATAGTCTGCCATTCAGCTGCATCAGGGAAGCACTCCACTATCATGGGGTGCCAAAGTACCTGAGGCGGCTGGTGGCAGACTATTTAGAGGAGCGTACCGTCGTGTACGAGGACCGAGAAGGTTATTTGAGGTGTCGGCCCATGTCGTGCGGTGTTCCACAGGGGTCTGTTCTTGGACCCCTCTTGTGGAACATAGGGTACGACTGGGCCCTTCGCGCCGATTTCCCCCCCGGGCTGGGTGTAATCTGTTACGCAGACGATACCCTGGTGACAGCCCGGGGGGCAAACTTCCAAGAGGCGGCGCGCCTGGCCACAGGGGGAGTCTCCCTGGTGGTCGGGCGCATTGAGGCGCTGGGCTTACGGGTGGCCCTAGATAAGACGAAGGCCCTGTTATTTCATGGGCCCCGTCGTGGTCCACCCCCTGGCGCCTCCATCGTGGTCAACTCGGTCCTCGTACCGGTTCGGGCCCAGATGAAATATCTGGGCCTGATCCTCGACGGGAGGTGGCTCTTCGACGAGCACTTCCGACAGCTTGCTCCAAAGCTGGTCGGCGCTGCGTCTGCCCTAGGGCGACTTTTGCCCAATATGGGTGGACCCAGCGTCGCGACAAGACGGCTGATGTGCGCGAGTGGCGCGAAGCCGCTCGCCGAGCCACGATGGCTCGTTGGTCGTTCCGGCTGGAGACTCCACGCGCTGGCTTCGCCGCCGTGGAGGCTCTCCAGCCGGTCATCGCCGAGTGGGCAGGGCGGCAGCACGGGACCCTTTCCTTCCGACTGACGCAGGTGCTTTCCGGACACGGTTGCTTCGGAAAGTACCTGCACACGGTCGCTAGGAGGGAACTGAGTCCCGCCTGCCACCACTGCGACTGCAGTGAGGACTCGGCCCAGCACACGCTGGCGGTCTGCCCCGCATGGGCGGCGCAGCGCCGGGCCCTCACTGCAGTCATCGGAGTGGATCTCTCGCTACCGGCCGTAGTACGCTCCATGGCCGGTAGCGACAGTTGTTTTACCGCGGTCGCAACCTTCTGCGAGGTAGTAATCTCGCGGAAGGAGGCGGCGGAGAGGGCCCGGGAGGACGACCTCCACTCGGACCCGATCCGCATTAGTTTGGCCAGCCGCGAGGGGGCGGCGTCCGCGTGTGCCGGACGTCGCCTATAAAGAGAGGAAAAACATCGAGACGGAGCCCGCACATGGAGCGGGCTGGCGCTAGGAGGGGTCCGGATGTCTTAACAACAGCTGTTCCCGGATCCCTCCTGTTACAGGCGCAGAGTGGCACACCGTGTGGTTTTAGTCGGTCCGAGTCCGACACACCACCCCGCCGCAAACCCCGGAGGGGTGACGGTCCGAGGGGATTTCCACACGTTAAAAAAAAAAAAAAAAAAAAAAAAGGGTTTGTGTCTAGTTTTCCTTTTCTTTGCAGTGCTGTTGTCCTGAATAGTTTGCTACCTTAGTCGGCTCTTACGATACTCATGAATAGGGGTGGTGACACTCCGTATTCTTAATTCGTCACAACACGGAATTTCGTGTGGTGAATTTGTCTATAACATATTTAAATACATATGCGTATATACTCGTAAATATGTAAGTGTGTTTATAAGCAGTCTGGTTACCATAGTACAGGGTCTGTCTAGTTTGGGGTCAGACGGCCGTGTGTGAGATTTGTCCAGTTATTATTTAATTTTAAGTATATAAGGTGGGTAGAGAGGGTTTTGGTGGTAGTCAGAAGGCTTGTTACTGTGTGGTTTTAGTTGATTTGAGTCAGAGGTAAGCATTTCCTTCCCCTTATTTTTTCGCAAATAAAGAAAAAAAAAAAAAAAAATTTATTCTAACCCATGCTCAGCAGCAAGATGGAGTGCGCTATATCCGCAGTCGTCTCTAGCGTTCACGTCACATCCACGAACGACCAGAAGCCTGGTGGCTTCGAGGTATCGCTGCCAAATCGCGTAGTGGAGTGGACGTAAACCTTGGGTCACTGGTTCATTTACCTATAAAGTAAGACAATCATTTACAGAGACTTATAATTGTAAATGCTTTACAGAAAAGTGTGAAAAGAAGAGAGAATCAGCATGTCGATGTTTATCTGAGAAGATAATATCATTGAGTGTAACACAATAAAAAAAAACAGTCAAATCTAAATCCCCCCTCTTTTTGACTCGAGCGAGAGGGACTCCAAGGGCGGCAACGCACTTGTGACTTTTGAGTTGCAGGTGCTCATAGGCGGCGGTAGTTGCTTACCATCAGGTGACTCGTCTGCTCGTTTGCCCCCTTATACCATAAAAACAGTGGCACTCCCGCACACCGACAGAAGTGAAAACTAATTTACTTATATACAGAGGTGTCGGTAACGGTAACGGTAACAGTGAATATAATACATTCTTTTGTTTGTTGTTCAAAAATGCCCAACGCGGCTTAAGAAGTTTTCACTTCAAATCATTTATTTAATAGTGCCATTGTATCTATCTGTGCTATTGCAAAAGAGTGGCCATGAGTTTGTTTGCCCTTTCTTCTCATAAGGCTCAACCCCTTGGAAACGGACGGTTGTAGATCGGCACAGGCATATCATAGAATTTGTATGGGTTTGATTTTTGTTAAATTTATTTGGTTACTATTTGACAAAACAGAGATTGTTGCTTTTGTGTGTGTTGATCTATGGCTTTAGAGTCTACATGGAAGACGATTTCAAACAATTTTGGAAATTTTATGAAATAAAGAAAGTTTGAGTTTGAGTTTACAATACACTGAAAAATCCGGTTTAGCTGGTACTGATTGGTCCAAGTGCCCTGGTTTCCAACTTATCTTTTCTTAATGTGAAGCAAGAATTGATTTTTAAATAGCGTCTTCTACTTCTATTTATATACTTCTGGAGTTTCGTGGAGGTGCCTTTAAGTAACCTTTAGGACGAGAATGAGCATATTAATGAACAACCGACCTTCGCTCCACAAGCAAGCAGAATTCTAATCTCATCAAGTGGCACCATGCGAATGATGGAGTCCGCCAGCTCCCGCTGCATCGACTTCTCTGCTATCACCTCCGAAGGCATTGTCACTAAAACAAGTAATAATAATATAATATATATCACACATATCACACACGGCCGTCTGATCCTAAACTGGGCAGAGCCTGTACTATGGTAACCAGACTGCTGATAAACATACTTATATATTTTTAAATACATACATATTATAGATAAGTTACACCCAGACACAGAACAAATGACCGTGCTCATCACACAATATTTGTCCTGGGTGGGAATCGAACCCACGACCTCCGGTTTAGAAGTCAGGGTCACTAACCACTAGACCAACAGGCCCGTCAAAGTAAAGATCAACCATTGAATAAAATCACCAATATAAATAACCGTCAATAAAATATTTTATGGAAAGGGATCAGGATAAACCGTGCTCATCATAATGAGCCTACTCGACCGGGGTACTAGGGTCTCAAAGAAATCGGGCTAAGCAATTCTTTCGTTGCTTTTATGATTCCGAATAATTGAAGTACCCAAAATTGTTTTATATGTGTATTTAGGAGAGCAATCGAGCAGACGGGTTACCTGATGATAAGTGATGACCGCCGCCCACGGACATGTGCAGCTAGAGAGGCACAAGTGAGTTAACCCTCTTTGTTCGCCCTCACCCTCATGATAGGAGAGGGTTTGGGCTCTCTCTCGTTAAAAGCAACTAAAAATACTTATCAGCGGTTTTCTTTGAGACTTGACTTGCTAGGTCTACCCGTTCCTGAGAAAATCGGTGGTGACACACGGACAGACAGACAGACAGACAAGAAAGTGATCTAATAAGGGTTCCTTTTTTACCTTTACCGAGGTGCGGAACCCTAAAATCTAATACATATCAGTCAACTAACAACCAACGACTGAGATCATCACACGTCTGGTTGAAAATAATGCAGTACCATATATAACATCTATACTAATATTATAAAGCTGAAGAGTTTGTTTGTTTGTTTGTTTGTTTGTTTGTTTGAACGCGCTAATCTCAGGAACTACTGGTCCGATTTGAAAAATTCTTTCAGTGTTAGATAGCCCATTTATCGAGGAAGGCTATAGGCTATATATCATCACGCTAAGACCAATAGGAGCGGAGCACCAATGAAGAATGTTTCAAAAACGGAGAAAATTTATTACTATTGAGAGACGCAGACGAAGTTGCGTGGTTCAGCTAGTGTCTTATAAAACTTAAAATAGAGATATTTACGCAGATGCCAACTCATGTTATGAACAATACGCATTATCAGTCAACATGTTTGTGATAAAAGGAGAACGGATGCCAAGTTCTTAAGTATTGATGATAAATAAAGTGAGGATTTCATGTATTCATCAATGTCTGTTATTATTAATAAGATGGTACCCGCGATTTCTTTCGCGTGGAATGTGAAAAGCGCTGCCTTAGTGGGTTCGATGCCCGGACCGGGCAAAATTTGAAAGGGTTTTTTTCTGAGAGGAAAAATAGCTTAATTTTCTCCTTAAATAGATAGCAGGTAGTAAATCTTTTTCTTTTTTTTTCTTATTTTCTTTTTTTTAAACTTGTAAAAATAAATATTTTCCGACTTGTAAAAATATCTGAAAAGATTTACTTACAGAAATAAATATCATCATCATCATCATAAAAAAGACAACTCCCGCATTAGGAAAATATCCTGTGTCGCGGGGGACTTTACAAACATACATGAAACGGACACAAATAACACCCAGACTTGGAACAACAATTTGTGGATCACACAAAGTGTCGTCCCATGTGGGGTTTGAACCCACAACACTCGTCGTAAATCATAACCATTTGTGATTAATCATATGATTTTTATGTCATATCATCACACCTGTGACTGATTTACAAAACCACTGCTACAATATTATTATTATTACGCTAGGACTATTATAAGCTATTATCTAAAAAAAGGTACGAAGAAAAAAGAATTTTGATAAGTTTTAATGCCATTTATCTTTGACTAAGACGAAATCACAATCACATCTGAAATCGCTGTGACTTAAACCCATCATTTCATCAGATGAGTATATTTGAACGTAGCAAATAGTATATTCTATATAATGTACACCGAACAACAATGTATGGCGAAATGTGTAATCGCAACTGGCACCCCCAGGACAGACTTGCCTAGTGTGGGGCTACCGGCAATGTATCCCATAGTTAATATTTTGGTAATAAACTTAGACTCATTTAAGACGAAAGTCCGAGCTCGAATTCACGACACTCAAGCAGATTTGTCACATCCCTAAACTTTTGTATAGTGTATTATACGAGTATGTATATATATATCCGTGTAGTAACGGATTAAGAATACGGAATGTTACTACCCCAATATATCCCGTGGGTGTCGTAAGAGCCGATTAAGGGCGCAAAACAACGCAGGACACCAGCACTGCAAAAAGAAGGAAAACTTGACACAAACCCTATACCAACCCGTCTGGCCAGCGTGGTATAGTAGGCCAAAACCTCCTTTCTAAGGAGAGGCCTATGTCCACCATAGGACTATTAAAGGCTGTTGATGTGATGTAAACTTAACTAAAACAATCGTACTTAGAGAGTTAGTAATAAAATTACAGGCATCTGAGGCTTATAGCAATATTTCCCGAAGTACTGCAGTCTTTATGAAGCCAGTAATATTCTTTTAACTATCATTTTATTTATTATTTACATTTTTAACATGTCATTTACGCAAGATTTACATAATTATACACATGATACCTTGGCAAACTAGTAACTAATGTCAAGTCTTTATTATTGTCTATGATCTCAGAACGTCTCAAAAGTCTGTCATAATTGGAAACAAAAAAGACGTAAGCACATACTTATAATTTTTTGGCAAGTCTAATTTAAAAATGATTGAACGTTTTTTTTTAACAAGTATTTAGTTTGTTAAGATTGTTTTGTGTGATTATTTGAAATTAGTTTCCTGAAACCTCGATAGATGGCGCTCTAGTCCATTATTAAATCGTGCTTTAATAATGGACTAGACTTAATGTTAATAATGAACTTTATGTTTCGTCCGTGTTGTGACGGTCCGTGTGGTGACGGATTAAGAATACAGATTGTCACCACCCCTATTCATCCCGTGGGTGTTGTAAGAGTCAACTAAGGGAAAAAACTAAGCAGAACAACAACACTGCAGAGAGAAGGAAAACTTGACACAAACCCTATACCAACCCGTCTGGCCAGCGTGGTATAGTAGGGCAAAAGCTCCTTTCTAACTAGAGGCTTATGTCCAGCAGTGGACTATTAAAGGCTGTTGATGATTATGTTTCGTTCCTCCTCGGCACATTCGAGTATGTATGTAAATATATATTGGTGTTAAAAAAATTGTTTCGAAGTGAGATGAAGTCATTCATTTGAAGTATTACTGGGGCCTAGGTATTTTAGGACCATGTTCCTTAGGGCCGAAGGGCGTTTTGATGAACACATGTCACAGCTAGCGAAGTAGATTAGTAACGACGATCGTGGCAAAGATTGAGTGGAGTGGCGAATTTACTAATATCTTCATAAAGACTGTCAAAGTTTAAGACTGTTGTTCAGTAATGTCGTCCATTCCATTCGTCCACGGCCGCCTGATCCCAAACTAGGCAGGGCCTGTACTATGGTAACCAGACTGCTGATAAACATACTTATGTATTTCTAAATACATGCATAATTAATAGATAAATTACCAAACACAGTACAAATGAACGCTTCATCACATCAATAGCGTATAAAAGTCCACTGCTGGACATAGGCCTCTCCTTAGAAAATAGGTTTTGGCCTACTATACCACGCTGGCCAGACGGGTTGGTATAGGGTTTGTTTCAAGTTTTCCTTCTCTTTGCAGTGTTTTTGTCCTGTAGTTTGCTCCCTTAGTCGACGTTGACCTGACATTCCGTATTTTTAATCCGTCACCACACGGATTATTAATTATTATTAATGAATGTGCTTAGCGAGTGAAAATCGAACTCACAACCCAAGACTTAGCAGTCAGGGTCACTAACCTGTATACCAACAGGCCCATTAATATTGTGTACTTTTCCATACATTCATTTAACTTTGCCCGTTTATGTCTGAACAACAAAACAGTAGCCTACGGTCAAAACAATCACAAATGATAGCTGCAGTAAATACGCCACGAATAACTAAACACAAAAGAATTTCTAGTATAAATATTATGAACTACGCCGCAGAAAAATAAGAAAATATGCATCAAAACAAATACAGGTACAAAAGATCTTGAAGGAAACAAGGAATACTTCAATGAAATAAATAAAAAAACTAGCCAAGTGCGTGTCGGGCCACGCGCAATGTAGTTTTGTAATTTATTACTAAACGCTGTAAACAAGTTTTTTCTAAGACTTTTGTATTTGGTATGATGACAGCCCTATTTACTTTATTTTCTTTCTTCTGTGTTGTCTTAAAACGATTTTCTTCCCAAGAAGGGCAATTAATAAAACCCTTTACAGTGACCGCAAATTAAATTGGGAAAAGAAGTAAAAATAATGATGAAGGCATTTAAACAGACAATAATCTTCGACGGAATTCTAACGATTGGCGGGAAAATGCAGTCGATGCATATATGTATTTCATAAATAAGATTTAACTTTGTGCACTGAGAACACGTGGATAGATAATATATTCTCTGCGTGTAAATTTATCGATACATTGAAAGTTCCATTACCTCATTTATTTTAATAAAATGGCCACAAGTCTGGCAGACAGCGTCGTCATTTATTTAAAAAGTAAATACAAATATGGCGGACTGCCAAAAGGCGGGAAAAAGCGCAGATATCGCGCCAACCACCTTGCGTCAGGGAGTTTCCTAGAAGGCAAAATGTTTTGAAATTTATCTAAATTGCACGTGAGGAAAATTTTGGATGATTTTTAAAACGGAGTGAGGGAGAGTAGGTGGGGGAAACTGCAAGTCATGGAGGGCAAATTGTATTAAGTTAGTAGTAAGAAGAAGCTGGAGTTGAGTTCTGTGGTTGGAGAGTCTATTCAATTGAATAACACAATTTCTAATTGTATTATAAACTAGCGATCCGCT